GCCCCTTTTTGGCCCCAAATTCCTAGGGCAATTACCCCCAAACTCAAACCCAGCTTTCCCTTTGTGATATGGAACCTTGTAGTATAATTTCAGAAAGATCCATACACTTACACACAAGTTATTGTCATGAAACTAGAAAAATGCTTGTTTTTTGCCCCTTTTTGGCCCCTAATTCCTAAAATATTGAGGCAATTACCCCCAAAATCAATCCCAGCATTCCTTTTGTGATATGGAACCTTGTGGTACAATGTCAGAGAGATCCATACACTAACACACAAGTTATTGTCTGGAAACTAGAAAAATGTGTTTTTTGGCCCCTTTTTGGCCCCAAATTCCTAGGGCAATTACCCCCAAACTCAAACCCAGCTTTCCCTTTGTGATATGGAACCTTGTAGTATAATTTCAGAAAGATCCATACACTTACACACAAGTTATTGTCCTGAAACTAGAAAAATGCTTGTTTTTTGCCCCTTTTTGGCCCCTAATTCCTAAAATATTGAGGCAATTACCCCTATCATCAATCCCAGCATTCCCTTTGTGGTATGGTACCTTGCAGTACAATTTCAGAGAGATCCATACACTTGAACACAATTTATTGTCTGGAAACTAGAAAAATGCTTATTTTTGGCCCCTTTTTGGCCCCCAATTCCCAAACGTTTCGGCAATTACCCCCAAACTCAATTCCAGCTTTCCCTTTGTGATATGGAACCTTGAAGTATAATTTCAGAAAGATCCATACACTTACACACAAGTTATTGTCATGAAACTAGAAAAATGCTTGTTTTTTGCCCCTTTTTTGGCCTCTAATTCTTAAAATTTTGAGGCAATTATCCCCAAAATCAATCCCAGCATTCCTTTTGTGATACAATGTCAGAGAGATCCATCCACTAACACACAAGTTATGTCTGGAAGTTACAAAAATGCTTATTTTTTGCCCCTTTTTTCCTTTACTGTTGGTACCATAACTCCCAAAATCAATCCCAACCTTCCTTTTGTGGTATTGAACCTTGTGGTAAAATTTCATAGAGATCCATTCACTTAAACTAAAGTTAGAGTGCGAAAACCAATGTGTCTTCGGACGACGCCGGACGACGACGACTACGACGACGCCAACGTCATACCAATATACGACCACAAAAATTTTTTTGCGGTCGTATAAAAATAATTCAGATATTACTTGAAACTATGAGCAGGGTCAGGAACAAACTTCTCAGTACTGTTTGTTTTGAGGTTTATTGACTATTTATACTAGACATGCTATATGAGAGAAAGAGAAAGAAAAGAAAATTATAAATTTTTAAAAGACGAAAATACTGTTGGCATTTTAAAAGATTATTCTTAATTGTATGTTTTTTACAAGAATTGTAAAACAAGTATAAACATACATATACTATGATCATAAAACAAAAAGACATTTATATGTCAACATACGAACGGTCTCCCACAAAATATTATGTCAATCCAGTATCTCAAGCTTTTAAGGGTAAGTATGATGAGGGCCTTATTCGTCATCCAACATTAAATGGTATAGTAAATAAATATGAAGATATGTACAAGTAAAACAATAACAAAAGATACAGTATCAACATGATCAAGCTGTATGCTTGATAAAGTTTTGGTCAAATTTGTCGATTCTCTTATGTTGGTGGCCTCATAGTGAACTTAAAATAGCTTTGCAGAACTTATCACCTTCTTTATAACCATCAACGTCTATTATGATTTGAAAAAGAATGGCGGCGAAACTACTATGTTTTGAATTTCAGCCGCTTACAATGCGTAGGTCTTATACCAAATAATCTGAAAAAAGAAACGTACATTTAAGTGTTAAGGATACTCATTATTCAAATATAGAAAAAGAGGTGTGGGGCATTCCACATTGCAGTCCAACTACAATGAATAGACAAAATCTTCATCGACAATAAAAATAACCATACATATATGTGAAGCTTTACATTTTAAGGATCCTTTTTGAAAAGATGTGAGATACCGTTGGACATATATTAATTGTGTTCTTATATGTTTAAATTTTACTCCGTTTCACTCTCTACACTTTTTGATGCCTATTATGAACGAAAAACTTTCAGGTGGAAGCGGCCATACTTTTCTAACACAAATAAATAAACAAACAACCAAAGAAAAAGTCAACGAACAACTCCGATATCTGTTTGAAAAAAAAATAATCGATAAAAAGACATTACCCCTCCATTTCCAGTGTTAATACTTTCCCCAAGAGAAATTAGTAAATCTAAAAAAAATGTTTAAGCCTTTTATATTTTTTGTAATCCACTGTTCTGTTCTGTACAGGTATTTATCCACTACAATTTACATACAATTCTGAACGAATTAAACAACAAAGAGAAAACATTTTCCACTTTCATCAGCTATGAGACGGCTAGCTTTTTAGAAAGCTTCAGTAAACAAGAGTAACTATGTGAAACTTTCTTCAACATTTCATTGCACACATTATAATATATACAGTATTATAGTAATCTCAGTGCTAGGAGGTGAAAAGGTTGTGTAATCGCGATCTTAAAGTTATGGTCCGAGTTTGTTAGAGGCCGAGTTCACCTGTAACGTACATTCAAGCACCGATAATACTAGGATTGAATGCCGCCACTATCCAACAATCTGAAAATTTCTATAAACTGATAAATATGCCTAGAACAAAAAATGTACAGTACATACATGGCATATAGATATGCAAAAAATATAAACATTGTTTTATGTAACCGTACCTAATTTTTAAACGACTCCGAGTTAAGGTTGATTTCAACTGTTTAACCAAAAAATTATGGCTGTTTACATTACGAACTCTAAATTCTACATGCACACACAAACCTGGAAAACTTGAAAACTTTAAGTCCTGGCAGCACATAGATAAATCGAACATGAATCCAATTTGTGTTTTAGAATGACCAGACCTTTTTGGTGGTTACTATTTCACAACTGAACAAGATTGGCAAAAACCGGTCAACTGGTCAATACTGGTATAGACCAGGCCAGTGGTGAATACCATGATACTGGCAAATACTGGTCAATTGAAATTACAATAATTACTTAGTCACCAGTACCTACCTAGTCAATTTGTACCATTAATCTGAAACATAATGCATTTTCACAAATATTGTGCTTATAAATAAGAACATTCATCACCATTGGGCCAATTAAAATTACTGTGGTTGATCAGTAGACTTTTATCCTTGCCCACCCTGACTTTTTTATTTTAAAAAAAATTACGATTAACAGATTTGTTTCATGTCAGTTACCATGATCACCAGTAAAAGCTGATAGTTTCATTTCAAAGAAAACACCCTGTTGCAAAATTAACATGGTTTTTATATATTTTCTTTTGAGTAATGAAACTGAAATAATTAATTCAGTCAAAATATTCCACTGCTTTAAATGTTGGCTATACATATACACTTGCAAGTATTAGAGATTGATAATGCTAAAGGCCTCAACTATTTGGGTTACAAGAAATTAACAATATGTCAAATACACAAATCGGGTTTAAGTCGCTTATTTCTGTATACATCAGAAAACTGTGGATAAACAAAAAATAAATGGTCATTTCAGGAATGAAAAAAAAAAAACAGCTCCTCGTTGCTTTTCATCAACTTTCAGGATACATAGTGAATAATTAGCTTTAAGCACGTAAACACATGACAAACACGTCGCACAAAAATAACACTTTACCATATTCGTGTCATAAACTAAGTAGACCTGTCCAACAGAAAGATGGGGATATCGGTTTCATCCTTTGGCAGGCAATCTTGCTTTTGATATCCAAATGGATGAACATTTTTTTTCAATCTATGAACAAGAAAATTCCAAATCTGTTACTTTTAACTTGACATCTATCACGTTTGGACGGGTCCATTTTATCTATGAGATGAAAAATCTTACGGAATTAAGAAATAAAAGGAAAACAAACTTATTGTAATGGGCTTTTACCATAGGTTTCGTTTCACCAAACTATTTACGTTAAAAATATTTCAAGGTCAGTTTTGATTGTCTATTTTTAGGGACACAAACACCATGAACACTACAGATTATTTTTAGATTTTTATTCTTTAATCTCTTAGAAATGTTTTAACATGCTTAAATAATGCATTTAAGTCAAGGAAAATGTTGCTGCGCAGATATTTTTATTTATATTTCAGGGACAATATATTTTTTAGGGTCGGCAGGAATAAAAAAGCATGAACATGATTATTTTTCTGAAAATCAGAAAAATAGGGTCAGCGGATCCGTAAACCAACAAATTAAAAAACCTGGTCTAAGATGCAAACAGATTGATGAACGCTGAATTGTTTCTTCCTTTTTTAATTTCATTTTACTCAACTTTAGAATGTATTGTTTGGTGTTACTTTGTAAAAGTCAATAGAAATTGCAGTTAATCATGTAAAGCTTAACACATTTTGTATATAACAAAAAATTGATATAAGGTATGTACACTTTCAATGTGTAAAAAATATAATTCCCTGGACTACTATATTGTGAAGTCCCTTTATATGGTAGAAAGGAATATTATCAAGTGTACTATAAAAATCTAACCCATCTTATAATAATGTGTTATAATCCTGGAATAATTGGATGTCAAAAGTACATGTTAATTAAACATGTTAAAAGGTTGTAACAAAAAGCAAAATTTGGCACAAAATTTTCAAATATTTATTTAGTAATTAAAAGGTAGATGGTTTATTTATGTAAGTACTCAGAAATCAGAAAAAATTATGTCATTGACAACAAATATCCAGTGATAGCGTGATTCTTACCGGTGTTCAACCTTGGATGAAATCCAATTTTACATGTTTTGGGGGACAGAAGGCTGGGATAAATGAACAAAAATACACAGGACAGAAAGTCACTAAATTGGTAGATCCAAAAAATCAATTAACTATCAAATGTTTGAATACTGTATATGTGAAATTGTTTTAGAAATAATGCCTTCTACATGATCTATAAGATAAATTCATTGTTATATTTGTTTTCTTCAGCATGTTGATGATGAGATGCCTTCAGGTTCTCAGATTTCAGCCTCACAATCCATGACACAATCCATGACACAGGCAGAAAAGGCAGCCCAGAACATGGATCCTGCAGAACAAGAGAAAAGATTAAATGACCTGGTACAGTACCTTCTGATAATGGATCAGAAAAAAATTCCAATTAAAAAAATAGGTAATTATATATAATACTGTTTATATTAATTATAACATGAATTTTCGTAAAGTTTCTAAGTCTGTAGTGTCGCATAAACGAATACAATTTACATGAACAAATTTTTTGATAATACTTTAAAAAAAAGTGGTGTTAGTCTTTTGAACTCTTGTGGATAGTTGTCTCATTGACAATCATACCACATCTCCTTATTTTTGGTGGAATAAGACTTTTAAGTCTTCTGAAATCCAATACTGCTGTATGGTTATAAGTCTAGACATAGAACGTTTCCAGTAGTGTTTCTGTATCCCTTTCTGTACTTTATAATTTTATAACTTCCATGCCTCATCTCGACACTGATATGTAGACATGATCAGTAACAATTTTGTAAAATAGCATAGATCTGCATCATTTTATGAAACAAAGACAGAGAAACAAATGGACTGTTACATGAATTCAGGCTTGTATAGTCAGCAGTTTTTTACTCCAAAATTAAAATTACCAGGCAGGGGTGCATATGAATTTTATTTAGAGAAGTGGAATTTCATCAGTCCTAGGGAGCCAGCAATTCCCCAAAGGGATTATATAAGAGTGGGGTTTGCTTTAATAGCACAACAACACATGCATTCTTGTTTTATTTGATGGTTATAGGCCATTCATGTCTCACATCTAGTTAAATAAATACAACCATTTAGTTTCATTACCATAATTTTGTTTTGTTTTGGTACAGATATCAATAAGCAGGTTCTGAAAGAATTCAGTAAAACATTCCCGTACATGATTAAAAAGGCTGGAGAAAAGCTGCTTAAAGTAAGTACATGCTTTATTCAAAAACACCTTTCACTTCATCAATTAACAATTTACTTCACTAGTCCAGCATTCCAGTAAAGGGTACCTGTTTGTTAACATGCTATATTTGTTTGTCCAGCAACATAAAGGAAGACATAGGTGTTACTTTATTAACATAGTCATCAAAACCAAATATTCAGTTTCCTGATAAGTATAAAAAGAGATATTGCCCTTAAAATATGATTTTTACCAATTTTTTTTGTTTTTGCAGAAACTATGGTAGATAGAGAGAGACTTTAAATGGCATGTTTAAACACACATTAATATGCATTAAACAGCAAAATAGTTGTTGATGCAACATCTGCAGAAAAAATTTCATGTGAGCGATTCAGGCTTTCAGGAGCCTATTGTTGAAAGGAGCATTCTCCAGCACTGGCACAGTGGGACTGAATATGAACAATTCTCACGTTTTTTATGAAACTTATATAAAAGGTTTTTAGCCCTTATAAATGTTGGAAATATATATTATATGGGAAAGTGCATTTCTTAGCGCTCTCAAGGCTGCATTTCTGTCTGGATTTTCATGAAGTTTATATCATAGGTTTATATCAGTGTTACATTGTACAATGTACAAATTCAAAAATCAGCGCTGATCAATTAATTTTACTTGAGTTATGTCCCTTGGAAATGTGCATTCTGTAAAAAATTGTGTTCAAAGTGCTCTCAAGCCTGCCCATCTTGTATGATTTTAACAGACTACACGAATGAATTTTATTTTTACAGGACATTCGGTCTGGTAAACAACCTAGCTTTACCAGACCGAATAAAATTTTACCAGACCAATTTTTTTTTACATCTAATTGTATATTATCAGACAAAATACAAAAAAACTTATGATTTGTTAACTTGTGCCCTACTCCTCTCCAAAAACACACAAAAACGAAATCATGTGACAAGAGTGTAAAGGTGATGAAAGTTGTGCACAATTGCTTGAAATGCATTTCAGTGATAAAGAAAAGTAATGTCATATTCTAATGGATTTAAACTGAAAATTATTTGTGAACTAAAATTATTTAGAGTTTCTGTATAAAATATTTCCTGTTTCTTCTTTCTTTTTCATATATCTTGGTTTTCAACAGCTCTATTTTGTGACCTGCTTGGATTTAAAAAAAAATTATTTATTGTATTTGATTGGCAAACCCGGAATATTTGCCTTATCCGTTCTCGGAATCTAATCCGGTATTGTCTACATTTCCGGTTGATGGCAGCCATTGTTGTTTTCGTCAGTCAGATATGTTTTTACTCGGATTTTCACATTACTTGTTGGCGATTTTCGACATAAAGCTAGCGGTTGAACAAAATAAACATTGCTGTCATGAATAATAAAGATGAAAATGAATTTTGAGATCGTTTGGGAATTTTGCTAGAATGCTAGAAAAACCATGAAAAATAAACAACACCGGACATTCGGACTGGAATTCAACAAAATTTTACCAGACCGATCCATTATTCACCGGATTTGTCCGACGGTCCGACGCATTTCGTGTAGTCTGTTTTAATGAAATTTATTTTATATTAAAGGTTTATATTAACAAGGTTTTGGATGGGCTTCAATAATCAGCACAGATCAACTCTCTTTACAGTATTTATGCCCTTTTGAAATATAAATTATATGAAAAGTGAATAGCAAGTGCTCTCATGTCTACATTCTTGTCAGATGTTTGTGAAATTTATGAAAATAAAAAAAACCATTGTCCTTGGACATGTTGGACAGATAAAATATGGGTATCAGTGGGAGACATTGGAATACTGTTCTTTTATTACCTTTATATTTTATTATATTAATATTGTGATACAAATATTACCAGCCAGTCAAGGTAGTTAAAAACCACCCTAGTAGTATACAAATATTGAAGTCAGAATGTTGTGCCCACCAAATAATGTAATATGCAGCTATGGCATGTGAGTGTCCTTAGATTTCTTGTCATACATAGCATTTAAATTGCTCATCATATGCCTTGTTTTTGAACTTCAAAAATTCACATTCAGTTTTCATGATTTGGACTGTTTCTAAATTACTATTTAACTTGGGTCATATATCTGTTGTCTGTTACACAATAAACTGTGATAGTTATACAGGTGGGATATTTCTACATGTCTACTCCTGCATGTCTTGTTGTTTATATGATTACTCTTATTTTTAGGTATTTGGTATAGAACTGATACAGTTAGAGGACAAGCTGAAGGGAACCTATATGTTAGTTAATAGAATAGATACAGATGTAGATGAGTTAGAAGAGGCAGGACATGGACATATATTGACACCAATGCAATGGTTTGTTTTATACACCTTCTATACAGTTCAACATTAGATTCTTTAACTCAAAATGGCTGATTAAAACAATTGGAGTCACCTTAGTTGGAAGATTTTCAAACTTAAGACTTTTCCTTATTTATTTGATTAGTTATTGCCTTATTGGTAAGCTCCTTTTTAAGATCAAAGGTATGGGATTTTAAGGCAAATGTTTTTCACTATCTTTAGTATGTTTGAATCAGTTAAGTCAAACTTTATATTATTGGTATTCACTATTGGTGAACATAAGCTCCCTTTCAATTTTCAAAATTTTCCAATTTGTCTTTCTAGAGTTATTGGGCTTAAACTCTTATTTGTATTATCACAACAGTTTTGGCATTTATAGGACAGGAGTATCTTGCTCTTCTAATGCAGCTGGTTTTTGAATATTGAATCTTTCAAGTCTCAAAATTATTGTTAGAAAACCATGAAAATAAAACTAATTTGTTTGTAGCTGGTACACTCATATTTATTAAACATGTTTAATAAGCATGATAAGAACAAATAAGATTGTAGCGATTTCAAAACTGTTTCAGTTTCCTAAGTTGAAGTAATAGAAGTATGATGTGATATGTTTGCCAACACATTGGATAGCTGTACATAAAAAGGCAATGCCTTAAAGTTTTGGGGGTGTTATTACTGTTTAATTTTCAATAATTACCCAAATTGATTAAATCATTATTTCAACAATTTCTGTTCTCTGGCTAACATGCTTACTTTGTGTAGAATTTGATAGGTTTTTATGTAAACTTGCATAAAAGTATATAATATTTGCTTGACATAAAACAGGAAAGATATTTTATTGCCATATTTTTATTGATGTTTTTACAGGCCAGAAGAAGATAATTCAAAGACGGGTTTACTACTAGTGGTGTTAAGCTTGGTTTTTATGAACGGTGAAGTGATGCAAGACAGTAAGTTATGCTCGTATTTAGAATGATATGATTGCCAATGAGACAACTATCCACCAAAGTTTAAATGAAGTAGATGTAAATAATTATAGGCAACTGTACAGCCTTCAACAATGAAAATAAAATACTTTGCTGAGCGCAGCCTGATACGACCGCAGTGGCGAACCCTGAACAGTTGGGGCAAATTTGGACACAATATTCAAGTTTGATACTATCTGAATTTGGATTGTGATCAAATTTTTGACATAATATAGGTTTCTGACACAAAATAATTGTGGTCAAAGATCTTACAAATCTAATGCGCAATACTGTGCAATTGAAGATTTCTTCTTGAAACTTTTCCAAAATTTGAAATTTTAAATATTTGAAGAAAAAAAATATGAACCCTTTTAAAAAAATATTGGAATACCCCTTCCCCCCAAACTTTTTGAATACCCCTTTTAGCATTAACCATCAAACTCAATTGCGGTCTTTCCTTTGTAGTATGGAACCTTGTAGTACAATTTAAGAGAGATCCATACACTTAATCACAAGTTACTGTCTGGAAACTAGAAAAATGCTTTTTTTAACCATAAAAGCCCAATTAAATACATCATAAAAGTATTAAAATAGAAAATGACATCATAGTCATGGCTAAAATTCAAAAACCTTCATCAGCAACTTTTAATAGTAATATCTAAAAATAAAATTCCTTCATCAGCATTTAAAAGTAACTTCTAAAAATAAATTGACAGCTAGGACTTTGCAGCCATAAAAACCCATTTAAATACATCATAAAAGTATTAAAATAGAAAATGACATCATAATCATGCCTAAAATTAAAACACTTTCATCAGCAACATTAAATAGTAATATCTAAAAATAAAATTCCTTCACATACATAATCATGGCTAAAATTAAATAATTTTTAAAATAGAAAATAACATCATAATCATGCCTAAAATTAAAAGCCTCCATCAGCAACATTAAATAGTAATATCTTAAACTAAAATTCCTTCACATACATAATCATGGCTATAATTAAATTACCTTTTATTAAACATTTTTAAAATAGTAACTTCGAAAAATAAATTGACAGCTAATCACCTTAAGACAATACATTTCTTTATAAATAATTTACAAGCAGTGTAAGGGAGGTAATTTGACAATATGTGTTTGAATTGCCTCCCTTACACTGCTTTAAAATTATGTTTTGTACTTAAGTAATTGTCCATTAACCTGGAAACCCTTGTTTTCCCCTTTTTTGCCCCTTATTCCTAAACTGTTTGAGCCATAACCCCCCAAAGCAAATTCTTACCATCCCTTTGTGATATGGTAACTTGTGGTATAATTTCAGAGAGATCCATACACCATTTCACAAGTTATAGTCTGGAAACTAGAAAAATGCTTATTTGGGCCCCATTTTGGCCCCTAATTCCTGAACTGTTTAGACCATAACCCCCAAAATCAATCCTAACCTTCCTTTTGTGGTCATAAACCTTATGGTAAAATTTCATAGAAATCAATACTCTTAAACAAAAGTTATTGTCCGGAAACCAATGTGTCTTTGGAGGACAACGACGTGATACCAATATAAGACCGCAAAATTTTTGCGGTCGTATAAAAACCTATAATGTATAGTAAGCTCGCATACTTTTTAGTTGTCAGTAAGTTATACTTATTTCATGTTTCCTTTGGACTTATTGTACAAATATTTAAATTAATGTGCACTGTATGCCTTCTTCAGTTATTCAGGCAGTGAAACAGTTGAAAATTAATATGCATTAATCATTGATCTATAGCAAATAAATGATGTAGCTGGTTTACAAGCACTTTAAAAAAGCCCAATCATGCAAAATGGTTTACAAAATATTTTACAGACAGAACTATATATTTCATATATGTTAAATACAATTTATAATAAAGAACTTATAGTAATAACCTGTAATGAAATAGAATGTGTTTTCAATCTGGAAAGCCAGCCAAAAGTCAACATACCATTTTCAATAGTAGACAGGTGCCTTACGTGAGGGTACCCAAATTGCACCTATTTCAACAGTTTTTATACCCTGTCAAAAATTTTGACGGGACGGGACGTATTATGGTATACAATATCTGGCGTCTGTCTGTCTATCTGTCTGTCTGTCCGGCGTCCTCATGTGCACCGTAAGTTGAGAACGACCTATCCAAATTTCATGAAACTTAATATAGTTGTTTCTTATGATGGTCAAACGATCTGTATACTTTTTGGGGAAAATAAGATTAAAACTTGTTGAGTTACGGGACTTTGTATCTCAAAAACGATTTATGATTATTGCTTAAAAATTTACACACTTCTTAGTTATATTAATCTAAAGATCTGTATACTTTTTGGTGATGATTCAAATTTTTATTTTAGAGTTATTGAGTTTTTTGTAAAAAAAGGGGAGGGGTTTTCACATGTCGTGCCGTATCTCAAAAACGTTTTATGATTATTACTTAAAACTTTACACACTTCTTAATTATATTAATCTAAAGATCTGTATACTTTTTGGTGATGATTCAAAATTTTATTTTTAGAGTTATTGATTTTTTTATAAAAAAAGGGGGGTTTTCACATGTCGCGCCTTCTCAGAAACAATTTATGATTATTGCATAAAACCTCACATACAAGACGACGGGTATATCATGCGCACGTGGGGCAGCTGTTTATTTTCACCTACGTTTATTTATGATGCAGACAAAAGTTTCCATTCTGTGTTTATTTTGTAGATGTATCCTTATTAACTATACATGCTATATTGTTCCACCATTTCAATTTTGAAACCATATTGAATCATAGATGAACAGGTTTGAACTGACCTCCAAACAATCCATGATTCTGTAACGAGGAGTACCCAAATTGCATACATGCTTGAATTCACATCTGTAAAAATCGAATAACTGATGTTTTGTTTTATTTCTCCAAATATTTTGAACAATTTGACAAAAGTCCATGCTAACTATTCATTTTTTGAGAAATGGATGCCTGTAACATATTTTTTATTGCTAGTTTTAAAAAAAAAGCTGATTTTTTAGTGGACATAGCATGGCGACGTTCCATAGATTTAGCTTTTTCCAGTGAATACTTCATCTGTTGATATGTGCTTTGAATGTTTTGTGTTTATTTGAATATATTAAGCTATGTTGAAAAACATGCAAAATGTCAAATCATAAAACTCCAAATTGTTTAGTCTCTAAGAAAACTTGTAAGATTTCCGATGCTATTTTTATAAATGGGTGCAATATGGGTACTGTGATGTTACACAATATGTCAAGCTAAAAGAATGAATAAAAAAAAAATTGTGATTAAATTAAACAGAAACTTTTAAAGATCTTCCAAAATTCCTGACAGAGGCACATACAAATTCTGTTGGGTTAAACTACCTTAGTTCTTTGAAATCTTAACCTTGACAGATTTGTATTTTATTGTCATTTTGTTTACTCCAGTTCTATATTATATGACCAATAATGATATTATTTTTATATTATTATGAAAAAGAATATTATTATGATTTCAGAAAAATTTGTTAATTATGGAATTGTGTGGATACTCACATCATTACTTAAATAGGTAGTCCCTCTTTTTTGGTTTTGAAGAAAAAAGTTTTTACTTTGAACAAAATTGTCCAAAATTGAAGTGAATTGTTCTTTTTATAATTTATTCATCTGAACACTACAGCTTGTATCTTTCATGCTTTTTTTTCATTTCAGCTCATTTATGGCACACCCTTAGAAAGCTTGGAATTGACCAAGAGTAAGTATAGTTATTGATTTGTTCTTTCTCAGTTTAAAGTACCTATAGCTTGCTTGTCAATCATATTTAGGAATATGGTAAGCATCTACCTGTACAGTTATAAACATCCTATAAACAATTTGGGATTTATTAGGGATTTGTCCAAACTTTTAGCCACATAGTTACAAACTGAATATTAACTCTTGAAGGCCAAAGAACATTGAAAAGGTGGTAAAACGGAATTTTTTGCAATTTTGTATGCAGAAAATTACCAATGGTGAAAGTTACATGGAATAATGTTGTCTGATTTACAATTGTTTACAGATTTTGACAAATTGGTGCAGAATGCACCCATTATTTTTAAAGAAAATACCCTAAACTCATCCTTTGAATGGCATTATATGCAAAACCAATCCTTATATATTTTTTAACAACCACAGATGTTAATTACTATAAAGATTGTGTCAAATACTCCTATTTGGTCTTTTCATCTGATATTATTTTGTTCCATGCACTGCTCCTGCAGACATTTAATCATTGTATATTCAGGGAGTTGTTGTGATGATGCTCCTTATATTTGAACTTATGTTGATTTAACAAAATAATGATTTATTAATGGAAGCAGTTTAGCCTATTGCCATTCAATCAGTTAATCAGTTTTGGTACATTTGACATCTGCTAGCTATGAGTTCCCTTGAAATTTATCAGACATTGAAAAAAAACAAGGATTCTGAACTCCATTAGAGTTATCCCCCTTTGACTAGTTTGAAGGCAGACAAATTTGAACAATATATAATAGGTGATGAAATTTGTTTATGATTTGTTATTGATAGTTTGTGTTATTCAGGATCTTCACAGGGGATATGAGGCACCAGGCAAAGGGGATATACGGCACTGACAGGGAATATGAGCCTATATCCCCTGTGAAGCCTGAATAACAATTATATTTATTGGAGTGTCCTGATTTCAATATTAATTACCAATTTTATCTTTGTTTTACTTCACAGGGGATATGGGCTCATATCCCATGTTTAGGTAACCAATCAAATTGCAGGATTAACTGGGATATTTCACTTGAGTATCCTTTAATATAAGTACACATATTCAGCATATGAGAACAAGAAAATTAATTTTACTTGACCTTAAACTGGCATAAACCAGTGCTAGCCTATTGGTGGCAGATAGTCATGTAGAGTCTTCACCTGTATGTGTTTCAAATAAAATTTTTTTTTATTTCAGTATGCCACATGAGGTATTTGGGGACACAAAGAAATTGTTGACACAAGAGTTTGTAAGGCAAGGATACCTGGAGTACATCAGACAGCCTAACACAGATCCCGCAGTTTATGACTTTAGATGGGGACAGAGAGCAAGACATGAAATATCTAAAAGAACGTGTTTAAATTTTGTATGCCAGGTACGTGTTTAGATCCCAGTAATGGATTAACGTTGAATGTGTATGTTCTTTTCATCACAAGGCGATATATCACATGATCATATGATTGCTTGTTTTTTTTTAGTCAGAAATCTGACTCTGTCACCACTCTATATTTTAAGATAAGGCAGGTTTCTGAATAAAATCCTAGGAGATGTGTTAATGACTCACTTAAAGTATTAAACACATTTTAATCATTTACCATCAACTGTTCACATTAATTTGCCCTAAAATAAAAAAAACCAAACAGATAGACCAAATTTTAATTAAGAAATACACTTGCATACAGTTCCTTTATGAATCAAAATTTATAAAATATTACTCTTTCTCATTTGAAGTAGAAAGTAAGGTAAGATCAACTATAGGTCACTTCATACTGCCTTCAACAATGAGCAAACCCCATACCCTATAATAAGATTTAAAAGACCCTAGCATGACAAAATGTGAATCAATTCAAAATAGAAGAACCAACTGCCTGATTTATACTTAAACAGTAAAAGAGAAGTTTATTCAACCAAATATTTTGACAACTATGTAAATCTTACAATATAAAATTTAAAACCCAAAATGTTTTCGCACAGTTGAATTATAATTTTGAAAATAACAATTCATGTTGTTAGTAAGTCATATCTGTGTTAATGATTTTATGAATAGTTTGAGTAACTGGGAAACATGTATATTAAATAGCACTCCAGCTTTCTCCACCAATAAAAAATGGCCACCAGGAAATAACCAATAGTGCTGAAAGTGATGTTAAACGCCAATCACTATATATTATAGTAAATAGCAATGTAACATTAGTTATTATTCATATTTTAATTGCAGTTGTATGATGATAGAGACCCAGAGCAATGGACCTCCCAGTATGCAGCTGTGCTAGAAGATGAAGGAGTTCAGAATGGGGGTCAGACATGAAAGTTCAGTATGTCAAGGGAGTTAACTCTGTGATTGGAGATATGTGCCAAAATGGTCATTTAGACCAAAAACTGTCCAGAAGACTATCTGGTATTATTAGGAAGAAGAAATGAAGTGGACGTTTTTTTTTGTGAACTTGTAATGACAGCTATAGCTCCATATGTTCTTGGAGGAATCTATATTTTTTAACATGTTTTATGATCAGAATAAAGAAACAATTTACCAATATTTTATGCATTTTAAGAAAGAAAATGTTTCAACTGCCATTTTTAGAAAATCGATTACTGTGGATTCATTATTATTCGTAGGATTTCATTTTTCGTTGATTTCTTTGGTATAGGTAAAATATTCAACCAAGTACAGATTTTCATGAGGCTTTTATACAGCCTTTGACAAATATCCATGAAAATACAATTGTACCTCAATCCAGGAAAATGAATTAATCCACAGTAACTGATAAAAATATATAACAAAAAGTAAAATAACAAAAATACCAAACTCCAAGGAAAATTCAAATTGGAAAGTCCCTTATCAAATGGCAATATCAAAAGCTCAAACATATCAAGCAAATGGAAAACAACTGTCATATTCCTGACTTGGTACAGGTATTTCCTTATTTAGAAAATGATGGATTAAACCTGGTTTTATAGCTAGCTAAACTTCTCACTTGTATTCCATTATATTGACAACAATGTGTGAACAAAACTAGCAGACATAATAGGTAAAAATGTCAAAAATAGGTGTACAGCAGTGCCAGTCAACATTGTGTTATAATCTTAATCAAATATGTCAACAAAGAAAAACAAAATGGCATATAGACAAAGCACATATTAAGCAAAAATGAAAGACAAGAATTCAAGAAATGACCACAGCACAACAACACATTGGCGGGATGCATAAGTACCGAGTCACGCCATAATGATATTACAAAAAATGGACTAAACATTAAAGGAGACAAATAAAAGAACACTATAACACGTAATTAAGATGATAAACAACGTCAGTACCTAGAAACCATACTTCAAGACCATCATGAATTATTTGTGAAGTTGATACAGAATATTTATCAACAAGGTCTTGGTATCTTCCGATGAACTTTTTTAGAAAAAGGACGAGATGTTTTTTGACATAACCCTGGTTCATCAATTTTCTGCTCAGGCACTAGTGACGTTTTATAAAGTCTAAATAGCAGCTGCAAGCTCTTGAATACCAATGAGTTGGGAAATGTATATCCCATATGCAGGTGAAGTTGGTATATTGCTACTTAGGTGAGGGAAATTGATAATTTCAAAATTGAAATCGTTTCATTTGTCATAGATTCTGGTACTGAGATGACCGCTTATGTCAAATTCGAGGTACTTACTTACTTATCCTCTTCATCCCCAGTGGGACATAAGGCCACAACAAACTGCCTCCACTTCTCTCTGTCCTTAGCCATGTACTGGGCTTGGCCCCAGGTGTAACCCATTGCTTCCAATTCTGCTGTAACAGTTCTTCGCCAGGTGATTCTAGGTCTCCCTGGTTTCCTTTTTCCTGGTGGTGTCCAATATAAAGCTGTTTTAGGTGTGCGGTGTTGTGGCATTCTCAGTACATGGCCTAACCATCTAAATCTTCGCTGTTTGATTTCTGCTGTTATGCTCTTAGCATTACAAAGTCAAAAGGCTCTTGTTGCTCATCTTATTTGGCCAGAATATTCTGTTGACCTTTCTTATGCAGATAGTATGGAATGCATCTACTTTTTGAAGGTCACTAACTAAAACACGCCAAGTTTCTGAACCATACAGTAGGACAGATTTTACATTGCTGTTGTAAATTCGCAGTTTGGTCCTTAAACTGTACTGGTTGGACTTCCAGATGTATGAAGTCTTGCAAATGTTGCACGTGCCTTAGATAGTCTTGCCTTTAATTCCTTCCCTGTCCCATTATCTTTACTTATGATGCTTCCAAGGTAAGTGAAATCTTCAACACTGTCCACTGGCAGCTCATTGATTGTTATTGGTGTTGTATTTTTAGTGTTTATTGACATTACCATGGTCTTCTTGGCATTAACATTCAGACCAGTTTGCTCTGCATAGTTGTTAAGTATGTTGGTCTTCTCCTGGAGGTGTTCACTTGTTGTTGATAATATGGTAATGTCATCAGCAAAATCAAGGTCTTCTAGCTGGTTAAACATGGTCCACTGGATACCCCTTTTCTTGTCTGATGTTGTATGTCTTTGTATCTAGTCAATAGCCAATACAAATAGGATTGGTGACATAATACATCCCTGTCTTACACCAGATTTAACTTCAAATGAGTCTGAGATAGAGCTATCAAGGATGACACTGCATTCAAAGCTGTTATAAAAAGGCTTTTATAAGCATCAAAATTTTAGTTGGAATTCCATATGATTTAACAATTTTCCAAAGAGTTTCTCTATGTATACTGTCAAAGGCCTTTTTGAAGTCGTGATTAATGAAAATTGGTGTGTTCCATTCAATGCATTGCTCAATGATGTTCCTCAGAGTGAAAATTTGGTCAATGCATCCTCTGCCTCTTCTAAAGCCTGCTTGTTCTTCTCTTAGATTTTCATCCACCATTTTATCAATTCTTTTTAGGAGAATTTTGCAAAATACCTTACTAGGGACAGAGAGTAATGTAATCCCTCTCCAGTTGTCACAGTTGCGTAGATTTCCTTATCTTAAATTTCACAATCAAGCCTTTGCTCCAGTCTGATGGAATGTCCCCTTCTTTCCAGATGACAAGGAAAAGATTGTGGAGTACTTTGGATGATGTATCAATGTCTGCCTTTAACATCTCTGCGTGGATGGAATCAATGCCTGGTGCCTTCGCTGTTTCCAATGATTTAATGGCATTTCTTACTTCTTCTATAGTTGGTGGTTCTGGGTAAGCTATGATATCAGGATACCTCTTTGAAATGTTAGACCCACCTTTCTGCTTGTTCCCTTTCTGTTTTCAATGATTTGCCATTTTTGTCGATTACATGTGCTGTCTGGGCATTTGATGTTCCACAGAGTTGTTTGGTGATTTTGTAAACTGTACTCAACTCTCCCAGAATGGCTGCCTTTTCTGCTTCTTTTGCTAGGTCCTCCAGATATTGTCTTTTATCTTTTCTAGCACTTCTTTTAATTTCTTTGTCTTTTGCTCTGTATGTTACTTGTAGTTGATCTTGTAACCTTTTGGATTTTGCATTTACAGATTTCTTTTTTATAGTTTTTCTTTCTTCAATTTTTTGCCAGGTTTCAGATGTTAACCAATCTTTGTTCTTATTTGTCTTGTGACCAACTGTCTTTTCTGCCGTCTTTACATAAATATCTTTGATGTTATCCCACTTCTCTTGTACACTGCCTTCTCCATCATCAGCACACTAAACCGATTTTTCAATTCTAAGCAAAAATCTTTCTTGACATTTGGTGACTTCAACCTTGCTGTGTCTAGTCTCTTTCTGTTCTGGTTTTCAGTAGGTGCCTTTCTTAGTTTTAATTTGATGGTGGCTTTCAGTAGATAGTGATCACTGTTTACATCTGCACCCCTGAGTACTCGTACATCTCGTAATGATCTACGCCACTTGTTGTTCACCAATATGTGGTCAATCTGGTTTACTGTTCTTCCATAAGGTGATTTCCATGTTAGTTTATGGATGTTTTTATGTGGAAAGATGGTCCCTCCTATCACTAGTTTATTGCAAAGACAAAGATCGATAGCACGGTCCCCATTCTCATTTTTCACCCCGCAACCATGCCTGCCCATGACATTTTCAGCAACAGTGTTGTCTGATCCTACTTTTGCATTAAGATCTCCCATTGTTACCAGCATGTCGTGTTGAGGTACTTTAGAAATGGCAGTATGTAGCTGTTCGTAAAAATCATCCTTGGTCTCATCTTCTGCATCATGTGTTGGTGCGTAACACTGTATGATAGAAAGCTTATAGTAGTCGAAGTTAAATGTTGCTGTTACTAATCTTTCACTGATTGGTTCCCATTCTAGTAGTGTTTTTGCCTTTTCTTTGCATATAATTATTGCTACACCATTAATATGTCTGTCAGTGTGTCCAGAGTGTAGGATGATGTTTCCACTATTTGTTCTAGTCTTTCCTGAGCCAGTCCAACGACATTCGCTCACACCAAGAATGTCCAACCTGTAGTGCTGCATTTCCTTGATGACCTGTGCAGTCTTTGATGTTTCATACATGGTTCGAACATTCTAGGCTCCTATATGTATTTGTGCTTTAGGCCATAGAACACTCATATTCATTTTCCTAGTTTCCACAATAGGGCTTTCACTAGGAGAAGTCATTCCGCTGTGGTTTGAGTCCCCCCGTTGAACCTTTAACAGAGGGTAATCTAATTTCATTTGTTGTGGTTTCTGTAACTGTAATAGTTTTTACAGGATGGGGGAGTTAACCCCATGCCCAACACTCCAACCTGGAGGGCCAGGATAATTTGTAGTCGAGGTTTCCATCCTCTAGAAGGGCTGCTGTCCTGAGCTAATGAATCCATTCTATCCAGGTTTGTTTTCGAAGTTTACCATCTCCTAGATGAGTTGCCTTACTGGGCTACGACTCTCATCTAACCGACTATTTACCCATAGCTGGGACAAGGTTGATGAGTGCTAGGGCATGTCCACACACCGGTGGGCCTACACACTGCATCTCTAGGGCCCTTGCTGCTCCGAGATCTCCTGCAGTTTAGCCTGAAGTACTAGACCCCTGTTCACGTGCACTGTCGCGGGGAGGCACTGCAGGAGTCTTGGTAGTGTAGAGGCTATGTACTGGCAGGAAAGACTTACACACTCGGCTTTCTTTTCACACAGCAAGTATGCTAGCCAGCGGTAGTTAACAAATCATAGAATTGCAACCACACTTGACGCATATCACTACCCTGTGGTATAAACCACTAGCACACAATTCGAGGTTTAAGTCTAAAAATGAGGTGGAGGTAGATGTGTCAGTTGTTTCTTTAATTTCTAGTTCTAAAGATATACCACTCAAAATATTTCATTGTTATATGACTGTGACTTGTGAAAGTTGTTAGAAATTCCCAATCAAATTACATAGAAGGGATGCAATTCAAAAGGCTATCTATCAATTTTTATGTGAGTATAGTGTTTCTAGTACCGTAATCCTACCTAGCATATTTTCATAAATCCCAGTAAACATTTTACAGGCTTTGTTTTTCTTTGTAAATAGATTTCTCCCCCTACAATGATTTATTTTTAAGATAAAAGTAGGTATTACAAGTTTACCAAGATCATGCATAAGTGCAGACTCTTTATTATAAGGTGAAATCAATATTCGACCTGTCTATCTACAGTTAAAACATTCTGCATTCCAAGTTGTTTATGCTCTGCATATTGTTTAAACACAATTCGTTTTCATGCTTCCTTTATTATACCCCACGCAACGAGTTGCGGAGGGTATAATGTTTTTGACCCGTCCGTCCGTCTGTCCGTCTGTCCGTCTGTCTGTCCGTCTGTCCGTCCGTCAGTCCGTCAGTCCTGTTTCTTGTCATCGCAACTCCTCTCAAACCACACAACAGAATTTCACGAAACCTTTTTAGATAAGAAGGACATACTATGTAGTTGTGCATATCGACAGGAAATTACGATTCAATTCTTTTTCTAGGAGTTACGCCCCTTTGAACTTATTTACTTTAATGTACTACTGCAACAGTTTGTCATCGCAAATCCTCTCAAACCACACAAAAGAATTTCATGAAACCTTTTCAGATAATAAGGACATACTATGTAGATGTGCATATCGACAGGAAATTACGATTCATTTTTTTTTCCAGGAGTTACGCCCCTTTGAACTTATTTGCCCAATATACTACTGCAACCTTTTGTCATCGCAACTCCTCTCAAACCACACAACAGAATTTCATGAAACCTTTTCAGATAATAAGGACATACTACGTAGATGTGCATATCGACAGGAAATTACGATTCAATTTTTTTTCCAGGAGTTACGACCCCTTTGGACTTATTTGCCTAATATATTACTGCAACCTTTTGTCATCGCAACTCCTCTCAAACCATACAACAGAATTTCATGAAACTGTGTAGATTATAAGGACATACTATGTAGATGTGCATATTGACAGGGAATTATGATTCAATTTTTTTTTCTGATACAATTTTTCTTACACTTATTTTATTTCTCCAATGACAATGTGGGGACGTGGGGTATGTGAGCGCGCTCACTAAGGTTCTTTAATTTTTATTAGAACAATATATGAAACTGTTTATTTGTATAGATCACTCAAGTCCATCATCATCCTTCTGATTTTTACCAAATTTGTCATGTACCTGGCCTACGACTGGATGTGGCAATGGAATCCTATGATAGGGGATGCATCACAAATATCTTTTTAAGGATTGTTGAGGGTATATAGAAATCACCTTGTCTGTCTTTCTCTTTGCCTGTCTGTCTGTTCGTCCCACTTCATGTCCAGTGCATTATTTATGTACCATTGAACTTAGGTTGATCAAACTTGGTATGCAGATGCATCATGGGCTAAATAAACATGCAACAAACATATTAACAAATTGTTAAATAGAAATAAACATGCAACAAACACATATACAAATGTGTAAATAGAAATAAACATGCAACAAAAACACATACAAATTTCTATATAGAAATTAACATGCAACAAACACACATACAAATTTCTATATAGAAATGAACATGCAACAAAAGCACATACAAATGTGTAAATAGAAATGAACATTAAAAAAAAACACAATTATACTTAAATATGTAGAGCATATAGAAAGTCATTTCTATTTTAATTCATTTATTTTATGCTGGTGTCTACAAATTTTTAAGACAGTAATGATTAAACTATTATAATCTTTGAATAATTTGAATATTCATTTTTTAGATCATCTGGCCCTGATGAGTTTCTGCCTTTACTTGGCACCTGATGTCATCAGTCATCTTTCATCTGGTGTAAACTTTTATAAAAAATCTTCTTTGACAAAACAATTGAGCCCATTTAAACCGAAATTTACATGGTGTCTAGGTTATAGGTTGAGAATTATCCGTCAACCAATATGGCTGCAATGGCTAAACATAGAACATGGGGGTAAGATGCAGTAGTTGTCTCAAATTTAAAAAAAACACATGATAGAGAAAATCAGAATGTTCAGAATTTCAAGATCTACCTACTTTCTATTTATGACTAATTATAGGAGTTATTGCCTTTGAATGACTATTGTTGACAAAGAAGCGTTATTTGCCTGAAATGCCGCTCCCAGATGGTGCTTATGGAGATACATATATGATTTCTGCATAGGCTTTGAAAAAGTCCTAACGTTGTCTTGTTTGCAACCCCTCCCTTTTTCAAAATCCTGGATCCGGATCTGTATACGTCCATCTAACCATGACCTCGCTTAATGGATCATTGATCAGCATTAATTTTTCGTTATAAGGTCTGTCACTTAAGGTTCTTTAAGCAATTTGTCAAATATGTTTGGTGTATGGAATGATTGCAAGGCATACAAGTCCGTCTGGCAGGGATTATCTTACCTTGACCTGATAATGTTAGTTTAATAATTTAATATTTGTAGTAAAACTTTGATCTTAAAACCGTCAACATCAAATTCCATCCTTATCAGTAAAAAATCGAGACAAATCGTAAAAGATTATTAAACTCTATATACCCAAATGTAATCTGCTGCACTCAATATCCAGAGGAAGATACATGTACATCCACTCAATATCCAGAGGCAGCTATATGTACATCCACTCAATATCCAGAGGCAGCTACATGTACATCCACTCAATATCCAGAGGCAGATACATCTACATTCACTCAATATCCAGAGGCAGATTTAGGATGGGGATTTGTAGATTTCTAACGCCCCGAAAAAAATAGCGTCGCTACGCTCGCGGTATTTTTACCATTTTTTGACAATTACAATTCCCTTTCCCCCTGGAACCTGGATACGCCCCTGATGTCTGGCTACTCACATTGCAGATACTTTTCTAAACTTTGTATATGTTGACATAGATATATAAACGTATTTAAACTAAACCCTATGCTTAAAAATTATTCAATACAATAGAGTACAGTCTCCGGATATCTACCTATATTTATTAACTGTCCTTTTCCTCTCGCTTTTGAAGATAAGTGGTTGTTCCCTTAAGGCCGAATGGACGGTTAATCCCCAAGAATGCAATTGTAATAACATTTACTGTACCAGTGTCTTTTCCGTGATGCTCGATGCCAAAATATTTGAAAGCGTCCTCTTAGATTTTAACTTTATTAGTATAAATTGTATGAGGCGTTTCAATACACATACACAACTGTATGTGGTGTTCCATAACTGGAAGGATATCCATGCAATAGAAGAAGAAGACGTAGCAAAGCCTGATACAAACGTCGGAAGAGCTGATAAAACATAAGGACCCAAAATAAAGCCAAACCTGGACAAGGATTGGAATCAGATCTGTGCATGAAGAAGATAAATTCCTTAATCTAAAAAGATTCCAGAATTTTATAACAGAAAATTTAAATAGAACAATATTCGTATTTTTACTGGGCTGGCGATACCCTCGGGGACTAATTAACAGTCTATCAGCAGAGGTATCGACCCAGCGGTAACGGGTACCAATTTATCACATCAGATGCGCATTTCGACAATTAACGTCTTTTCAGTGATAACCAAGGCCAAAATATTCGAAAGTCTAAGATAAGTCTGAAATTGTATGTGTGATCGGTTTACTTCTATAGACCCAACTTGCGATTTTAATAGAATCCAAAATGTTCAACGTTACATAAATAAGATAAACTGTTGACACAGAGATATGTCTCGCCTATTGGCATAAATTTCAGAAAAAGACAATCTGATGGACAGCAACATTGCTATTGCCTAATTAATTCAAAGTCGCTGGACCAACTAGTGGGTATGGCCTCGAAAAGAGTTGACAAACTGAGATGTACAGACAACAATGCAACTTTATAGAAAATATTGTCTACTGTGAGTAGTTCCTATCAAACTAACTTAAGCAGAAAACTTAACATTGAAAATGGCTAATTAAATCAAAGTCACTGGATCATGGCCTAGGGGGCAGGGCTTCAAAATTGTTGTCAAACTGATAGTAATACAACTTCATACAAAATACCATTGATCTATCACAAGTACTTCCTATCAAACTAACTTAAACAGAAAACTTAAAAATTGTTGACGCCGTCATCGCAGCCGTCGCCGGAAAAGCAATCCCTATGTCTCGCTTTCCGTGACTTTCATCGCAGGCGAGACAAAAACCATGTGATTTCAAGTGGACAACATCGATTCTATATTTATTGTGTTATGCATACTACGCGACAAGAATGCATACATGTACAATTTTTCTTTTTATGTACAATATAAACTAAATTAAACTAATAAGAAAACTTCATAAACATGGTAAATGGTTTTATACAATTTACAAATAAAAATACAAACCATACATTCATTTAAAAAATGGCTAGGATGAGGAATCTATTTTTATTTGAATGCTATGGTGAACTTCCTTTAAAGAAACTCAATATAAAAGGCAAAGTTAATGCTAATGCTCCATATAGAAAAGTTACAGTAGCTAAAGAATTCAATTTTATCTTCCATTCTAAATTTCGTTCGGTTTGAGACAATAACTCCTCCATTTGTGGGCCGACATAAATGACGTTAGAAGTAGACAACGATGCTTCTTTCAGTCCCAGTAATTCCTTCACACCTGCAATTTCTTTTGTTAATTTAATGTCTTGAGTTTTCAATAATTCGACAATATCATTAATTTGTGTAGAAGAATACTTCCCAATTGGTTTTGGACTCGGATTATTTTCACCTATGGCTGTCCTAATGTCACCTAAAAAGTCTTCATATTTACTGTTTTGTGACTTGACAGCATCACACAGTTGCATTGCTATTTTTCTATAATCTTCCGTCGTCCCAGCAGACGTTTGAACAATTCCGCGCAACTCTTTCATTCGAAGATAGTTATTTATAGTAGTTCCTGTTATTCCTATAGCAGCACCGATGATAGATCCGATTATTGACCAGTATTTGGTCCTTTCACCTTGCGCGCGCTCCTTCTCGTGACTGTCTCTCAAAGCAGAAGAAAGAATAGCAAAATTAGCTCGGACTTGTTCTTCTAGGAGTCTAACTTCTTCTGCCATTTCATTTTCTTCTTTGATTATTGCATTTTCTTTAGTAACTAGCTCTAAGTAGCGGTCAGTGCCACGGTTTGTTTTTTCCAACTCTACAGCTACGTTTTTCAGTTTAGAATTAATCACAGTTAGATCTTTATTTGTGTTTCTTCTCTTCTCTTGGACTTCCTCAAACTTCGACTCAGCCTAAACAGATATATTAAAATCTAGGTAAAAACAAACGTAACGATATGTTGTACAAAAGTTCACAAAACTTATATGATCTGTGAATTTCTGAATCTGTTACCAAAAATCTAGGACTAATATATATTGGTCCCTAGCCAAAATGAATCAGGACAAATCTGCAGGAATATAAATTTTGGAAACGGACTTGTTTTATGAATTCATTCATTTTTATGAATAATTGTATTTCGTGAGTTTAAAAATAAAACTTAAATGGATGATAGCACGTTTTCTTAACGTATTTACTGCTCCAGATTCATTTAGTGTTAAAACTGAGATAACTTATAACACTTAATTTTATTTCAAGTTAAAATGAGAGATTATATTAAAACCTACATGTATATAATCGTATATGTTAAGGCTCGCAGCTATAATGCTTTTTTTTGCACTGGAGCGGCGTAAAGAAATCCAACATCAACCAATCAACTTATGTTATAAGGACCATTTGTGTACTCTTCAATTCTATTATTGTGACATTTAATTTAGTTTAAAATAAGTAATGATCATTTCAAACTTTTACATGTTTTTTTTTCTTCTATAGTTACTGACATTTGTGAAGTTTTAACAAATGTTTTTAATTCTATGACAAATCACATGTTAAGTATGAATGAAAGAGATTTTTTTTGTGTTAAACTTGTTTTAGTTAATATTCTTATACATTTCAACTTATTTAATGTGTTCTTGCTGTTTACCATACGATACAACAATACAGTAGTTTATAGATGGGCATCATATAAGATAAGATAAGATAAGATATTTTATTTCCAATTATGGGCCCCAAAGGGCATAAACATTACAACATCAATAATTTTTTCATAATACAATACAAACAATGAGATAAAAAAAAAAAGTTAAACGAGAACTATTTAAGTTCTTAAAGAATACGTAGATAAAGAATCTATAGTATGTTGTTTTTTTTAATACTAATGCATTGTATTGCAAGTGTGGTTGATATAGATAACAAACAAGCAGCCCAAAAAGAAAAAAAGAAAAATAGATATCCACATATGTATAGTACACAAAAAGTTGGATCAATTAAATATATAATAATCAGCCAAAAAGAAAGTAGAAATTAAACATGTCCATGACTCATCCTGTGTCAGCAGCAAATAGGAAAGCATTATGGTTTCCTAAAGGCAGCTGACACCAGGGGGCGATACCTTATGGGCCATAGGCATGTAAAATGTATATAAACTATTGTTATTTTAATATCGTATGGATAAGAGCAATAACACGTAAAATAAGTTGAAATGTTAAACTGATTGATGATTGTTGGTTGCTTAACGTCCAGTGGCAAATATTTCATGCATGTTCAGGACGAGAACACATTGGCAATAAATACAATACGTAGGTCCTGTAATGGAAGTCGTCCGGAATGAAGGTCGGGGAAATTAGGACTGCCATTGCAAAATGAGGGTATATTGGATAGGGACAGAAATTTGGCCACGCAAAAGGTCACCTACGGACCATCAAAGAGTTGACGCAAGGGTTCTTAGCGTGCAGATAGTGTGGCACTCTCTCTACACGAGGCATAGAAGTTAACGTCACCATTCTGACTGGACGTGGCTGCGTACTTGTACATCCCGCACAGCCAAACGAACGCCCCACTTTGGCAAGAGTTAAATTTATTGCCGGTCGGAAGAAGACCAAAGTGACCATATTTATATTCTAAGGCAACATTGGGTATTGACTAAATATACATAGAATATTAACCCAAAAAAAATTAAACTAAAAAAAGGGAGGGGTCTGAAATAACAAATAAAATGAACTAGCCTAGAAATGTAATTAGACCATAAGCCTCCATTCCTAATAGTTTTGAGAAGTTTGAATTAAGTACATCACTTATAGGGAAACTTGATTTTCTTCATTTGAAAACTGTTGCTTACTATTAAAGATTAAAGTCACATAAGAGTGAAGATCGTCATAATGTATGCAGAGAAAAACAAGTTGCTTTAAATCCACGTAATTTGACTCTGCTGGATATATATAGTACTATAGTTGTCTCATAGACAATAATACCACGTCTCATTATTTCACTGAGTTCGCCAAAGTGTATATCAGACATATGATTAGGAAAAGTCAAGTAGAAACTTGTATAAATGGTTCTCAATCCCATTTCTAGTGAAACAGCTTCTATTAATAGGTCTTTGACGTAAAGTTAAAATAAATGCCAGTGGGTTTTGGAAAGTTGGGGGTAAAACCACAGGCACTAGGGTATCGGGTCTGTTCGCGCCCAATACACGTTCGCACCCTACACGTTCGCACCCCACACGTTCGCCCCCTGGGTCCGTTCGCACCCTTTTTTTTTTATTCAAAAACCCGATGAATTATAAGATGTTTTTTAAGATGTTTATCTCAAAATAAAGAAAAATTCGGCAATTTTTGAATTTTTTAAATGAAATATTGTTTTAAATTGATTTGATGATTAATTATTTATGATTACTGTTAATTATATATGGTGTTTACACAGCTAAACTTGATGTAAATTCTGCATGTAGTTATATTAGCATGTATTTAACTTGGTATGAGTAAAAACAATTAAGATTCAAAATGTTATTGTTGTTGAGTTTAAAGCGGTTTGGTATCTTAACATTTAAATAATATTCAACACAAAAAACCTTTTTTAGAAAGTCACTTTATTTTGAAACAATGAAAAAAAAAATACAGCAATACACTAACCAAAACACGATTAAAAAGATATTCAACACAAAAAACGTCACTTTATTTTGCATGTTTTGAAACAATGAAAAAAAACTTATTTATAGCAATACAATAACCAAAACACGATTGAAAAATTATTTAAGACAAAATCAATAAAAAGGGTGCGAACGTGTAGGGTGCGAACGGACCCGGGGTGCGAACGTGAAGGGGGGCGAACGTGAATGGGCGCGAACGGACCCGGATTCCAGGCACTAGACGTCAACAATGATTAAATATCATCATAGGGGCAATCGGAAGAAAAGGGTTTCGTTTTTCACACTTTTTTTCTTTTCATTGCCCATATGTTATTATTGATAGAACTTCTAGTGTCTGTGCTAAAACCAATCGCTGTGGCGGATTCAGAAATTTTCATTTAGGGGGGGCTAGCTCTGACTGCCTAAGAGGGGGCCCGCTCCAGTCATGCTGCAGTGATTTCCTATATAATCAACCAATTTTTTCCCACAAAAGGGGGGGGGGGCCGGGCTCCCTGAAAAACTCTCTAATGATCCGCCTCTGAATCGAAATATCAAAATTTTGTTGCAACTAATTAAACGAGCTGTTGCAAATCAAGTCGGACCACTATATGCTTTCACTCCCCTTTCTTTGCTTTATTTTTCTCAGTTGGAACATAAAAAATGAATTCATCCTATTTTCCAGATTTTGTATTTTCTGCACTTTGTAATTTGTCTAAAACTGTTAATATTTCGTCAATTTTTTTGTAAAAACCGGTAAGGGGAGATAACAAAAATTACCTGCAAGACTTGTGCTTGTGCTTCTCGAACTTCTGTAAGCCCCACAAAATCTTCATACTTCTTAATACATGAATCCAACAATCCTTTGGCGGAGGGTCCAATATAACTGTCAAAAGTCTTCTGAGAAAAACTCTTCTTAGAACAGGAATATACAACAGGAAAACCGTGTTGAATGCGGAACCTTGCCAATTTGTTCATTGTTATTGTAAGGGGGATAACTCAATTGATCATATTAATCATAGTTTCATTATGATTATCCCCCTCCACCATTCTTATATTTTTTTAAAATCATTTTCATTTACAAGTATTGTTTTTGTTTTACAAGTCATTAATTTCATATTGTACTAAAGAGGTGAACTTTTTTCTGGACAAATTACAGTAAAGCAAATTAGCAACAGCTTGTAACTCATTTCAATCAAAATATAAAAATGCAAAAGATGATATATTCAGCTAATAATATTCTTCAAGATTTCTTTCACAAATTTTTTCACATAAGTTCGGAAGGAAATTCTAAACATGAAAATATTGATGTTAAAACTGAATGCAAATTCATGCTACCTCTTTAAATTCAAATTCGCACAGTAGAAACACATATTATGTTTCCTTACAAAGGTGAAATATATATAACATATCAAGCCAATCCAATCATTTATGTGATAACTGCATAAATTGTTTGAACTAGCTGTTTTGACATTAAGAAAACAAACAGATATACACCGAAGTAAAAATATAAAAAAAAGGAGATGAGGTATGATTGCCAATGAGACAACTATCCACCAAAGTTTTAAAAAAAACCCATACCGTATAGTCGGCTATAAAAGGCCCCGACACGAAAGATATGAAACAATTCAATTAAGAAAACTAACGGCCTAATTTATCATGTTTATAACAAAACAATTAACGAAAAACAAATATGACAGACATGAAACAGCGACAACCACTGAACTACAGGCTCCTGACTTGGGACAGGCACTTAAAGAATGTGGCGGACTTAAACATGTTTGATAGCGCTCCACCCTCCCCTAACCTGGGACAGTGGTGTAACAGCACAATATAAGATCAAACTATAAAAATAAGTTGAAAAATGGCTTAACTCATCAGATCGACACAAAGCAGAAAAACCTCAAACATAAACACAGACTGGACGTGGCAGGGTATTTATCCATCCCTCATCCCTAACAACAAAAAGGACACTAAGTACAGGTCTGAGAGTACTCGCAGTTACTGACACCTAATTCAAAGCCAATAACAACTAATAAAAAAAAACATGTATCTAAGACTAAAATATCAATCAGTACACATCCAACATCCAATGGATTTAGTGTAAAGACGTCATTAACAGTCAGAGAAAAAACATGACCTTGTACAATGTCAAAATAAAGATATCGACAGATTGTAGTACCGTTAAAGTGCATATGTGTATAACAAAACTATTTAGTATGATTTTAATTTACTGATAACAAAATCAATATTTATACCAATAAAAACAATATTCAAAGATCTAATTACAGTGTTGTCTTGGTAACCTTTTAGAATAAGTTTATTTAAAAGATGGATAAGTTTACCCGGATCGTACATAAATTTCCGGGCTCGGTAAACAACATCACCGTAAAATTTAGGATGTGCTATTCCGTCTGAAATAAGTTTTTTACAGGTACAGCCAAAATTCTTTTCTGTGATTTAACGAATGTAAATCTACAAAATCGGTTCATCTATATTATATGCAAATATGAAATCACAATTGGTACAGCAATAACTGCTCACCATTTCGTAACAATTGATATCATATAAGTTTACAATAAAATATATCTACAGGTTAGATGAATAAAAACAACATTGAGCCTCCAGTATGTATTCGGTTTGAATATGATTTTGATACATTTTAAGCCGTAGTATAGTAAGATCAACAGCCATAGAGGGGCAAGGGTTAATAGACAGAAACAAAAAAATATATTATAAAAGAAACTATACATCCGGATGTTCAGTGATATAATGTACACATTGTTTAATAGTGCAGACGGGCATATTAAGTGGTTGACATTATGTACAGAAGGTTTCATATTTATATGATAGTTAAGAGAACAGCAGACGTGAGCTGTTCTCTAAAGTTATCTACTGAGGGAGTCTGAATTATTGAAATGGGTAATGTATTCCATTGCGGTATTGTAAACAGAAAAATGAATGTCTGTTTGTATCTTTATAGATGTATAAATGCGTCTTAAGGTGAGGTGAGGGAATTTTCTGGTTCTTTGATCTGCAGATATTAGAATGGTGTCTGATGGAATTATAGATGATGTGAGATCTTATACATCATGACATGCAGGGGCGGATCCAGCCATTTTAAAAAGGGGGGGGGGGGGGTCCAACCCAGGATAAATGGGGAGTTCCAACCATATGTCCCCATTCAAAAGCATTGATCGTCAAAAAAAAAGGGGGGGGGGTTCGAACCCCAACCCTGATGCTATATTAAATATCGTCTTAATTTTTTACAGTGTATCCACGTTCCACAGTATGTTTTATCACGCGTATAAAATCATCACCTCACAAAAAAGGACAAAAACAATTGAAAAAAAAAGGTTTCGTTTCCATATTGGCTGGTGGTACTCTATCATTCTAGTGTAATATTTTCCCTCCTGCATATGCATATGTACTTTTTAGCGTTTTACTTGTTTGCACTGAAAAATTAAACATGTCTAGACTTTGAACAAAAAACTGATAAATGATACCAGGCTTATTAATTGGTACACCAGACATGCGTTTCTTTTGCATAAGCCTCATCAGTGGCATTCGTATCGAAACAATTGGACGACTAAATCCAATACGAAAGTTAAGAGCATTAAAAACCAATGACTCCTAAAATTGTGTCAATTACTACTAAGGCCATCTATGCCTAGGTTTGAAAATCTTTAGTGAATTTATTATATAACAACCCAATAACAAATGCAGGACAAATGCACCACGAATCTCGAAGCTTTCAGTTGTAAAGTACGTTGTCAGTGCTATCAAAATATTCTCTACGTGTAATGTTCCACGATTCTTTATTTTCTTACACGTGAAGAAATATAACTGAACTCCTGATAAATTAAACAGGTATATAGTTGTTTACATTCATACAAAACATCTAATAATATTTGACAAAAATCATTAAATTTTTACTGTCATTATTCTTATTCGGTATTGAAGAGTAATTGCCCATTAATTCTACATAAATGTACTCTTTAACTTTATACCATAAAGGTCTACATACGAAGTTGATATTTTTAAAGTTTCTTTTTTAAAACTTCAGTGATAAAAGTGTGTCCAGTTATTGAAATTACACTAAAAACTCTCACATATTTTTTTTATTTCTTCTCTTGAAATTTGAGATACACGATAATGACACGATAAAAACTCAGCCACGACATTGTAACTTGTATTTAAATTAAATATACAAAATGCCAACAATTGTTATTTTTATGTAGGTGTCCAGATTGAATGAATTGCACTTTTAGTTTTATGTTGCTTTCAAAACAGTGGTCTGGATCACGCACTGATACAAAACTTAATACTTAAATGTATAAACAGACGACCTTTTAACCTGTTTGCTTTTGAAATTTTAATTTTCTTAAGGAGCTTTCTCATACACATTGTACTGATACTTAAGGTCTTTACATAAGGGTATTATTATATCACAGTTATTTACTTGAGAATTTAAATATCTTAACAATTATACTAAAAAGACAGTTTAAACTAATTAAATGCCCAAGCTTCCCTCTTCTTGGTAGTGGCAAAACGATTGTTAAAATTGTTTGTTGACCCAAACTGATACTTTTCAAAATGAGAATTCTCATTCAAGGAATTCTAATTTTGACTTCAGTTTTACTTTCGTCAGATACAACTGTTGCAACACAATTGCCGATCACTGTAAGCCAGAACGGATATAGTGGACTTACTGTTGCAATAAGCAATAGCATTTCAGAAAATGTGGCACTTATTCAAAAATTAAAGGTAAGTTTTTGCTTTTTGCAAATGTAATTATTAGTCACTGGTATTAAGTTATATCATCAAGAAAGAACATAAAAATATAATTTAAAGATTAATGTCTGTAATTTACTTTATTTAATATTTAATTTTAAATTTTTGAAGCGTTTTAGGTCCAAAACGATTTTCTTAGTCTTGAAGAAAGGAGTTTGATCAAATATGTGCATGTGCTAGAGCAAGCTGTTAACTAAATATGTGTCTACCATTATCTATATCGTATCTTGCTCATATGCTTTCAATATATAATTGAAAAAAGACATGATCTGACCATGCAATATTTCACATGGGCATGTCCGTTCAGAGTTTCGTCAGTTACTGTTTGTACTGACAAACTGAAAAAAAAACATGAAAATTAATTCAGAGATATGCACATTCAAATGTCTAGTAAGCGCACCAAAATATATCATCATGTAGGACCAAAAACAAAACGTTTTGTAAATATGAATACAAGAGGTGTGGGGTACAAGTCCATGGGACAGCAACTCAACGACAAAAATAACAATATGACATATAGATGCAACATAAAGTCTTCAGCAATAGACATACCACATATATACACTAAATAGTGTGGGAGACAAACTTTTAAAAATAACTCAGACGGTTGTGTTGCCAAATAGGGATGATATTAATGAATGTTCCAATTTTAACAGTAGTATTAAAGAATAATATTTTAAAAACAATTACCTACGAAAGCGAACTGTGCCTATAAAAGACATATGGAAATCTGTTTAAAGCATATTGGTATACGACTGTTAGATATTTAGAGAGAGACTGGGTTCAAGAATTGTTTTAGCACAACTGTTTTCTTCCAAGCATTGCGAGGATCGATCATGCTCGTTTTATAAGGACAATCCTTTACACGGTTCTGTTTTTATGATATTAATTTGTAATTTGTCTTCCAACCGATATTTTGAAAATTAAGTTAAGTCATTCATTTTCAATTGAACATTTCGTCCTAGAAGTTCACCAGTGCTGAACTTAGTTTAAACAGTACTTTATCAGAATGATATGGAAAAGTTCAATATTAATAATTTTTCCAGCTTTACGATCACCGCATAAATGTTCCTGCTTTACGATCACCGCCCTAAAAGCAAGATAGTTTTGTCTATAACAAAGTATACAGTTTACCCTTTCCTTTTTTTTTGTCAGGTATTTGTTTGAATACCTCCGTTTCATTTGTATAAAGGAGATTGTTACTAGTCAATTTGGTTTTATGAAATGAAGCATTAGACTAAAACTTTAGACAACATCTTTATTCCAAATGTCTTTATTGAGTTAAAATGAGATTTCAAATATAAGATACTGTTATTATATTTTACCGCAGGACTGGATAACAGCAGCATCAAGAGTACTATACAAAGCTTCAAAATACCAATTGTATTACAAAGATGTCGCTATTGTGTTACCAAAAACATGGTCCATTCAAAGCAGTTACAAAAAGATATCGGGTCTAAAATTTAGCATGGCGCACGTAAGAATTGACGAAGAAAACCCAGTTGTTGGAAAAGTGCCATATGTCTTTGGACAAACAGAATGTGGCAAACCAGGACAATATATGCATCTTACGACATACCTTTTATTCGCGGGAGAACTTGCTGGCTTTGGAGAAATTGGTAAGAGAATTAGAAGTACTTAATATTGTGTTGATGCATATGAAAGTAGGCAATGGAAAAAACGGATTCTGTAGGAAGTTTTGTTGTCGTTGGTTGCTGTCTGTGTTTTTCGTTTATTGTTTTAGTTTACACCAAGCTGTTGTTTTTTCTTTGGAATTGTTTCACACGGGACATTTTATTGCTTACTACGAAATGGATTTTGCTTATTGTTTAAAGTTTGTACAGTGCCCTTTATTTGTTTACATACTCGTCCTTTGGTCTCTGGTGGATATTTATCATACTTGTAATAATATCTCGTATTCTTATTTATATATCAACTTACCGTTTTCCTACTTATGCTGACCCATGAGTATCTCAAAAAGCTACTGATTTTTACAGTTTGTTCTTATGTTGTGCCGTTGCACCACTTTCCCAGGTTAGGGGTAAGGTTGAGCGCTCACAAACATGATTAACCCCGCCACATTCTGTATGTGCCTGTTCCAAGTCAGGAGACTGTAGTTCAGTGGTTGTCGTTGGTTCATGTCAGTCATATTTATTTTCGTAAATTGTTTTGTTATAAATTAGGCTGTTGGTTTTCTGATTTGAATTGTTTCACATCTTTTATGTCCGGGCTTCTTATAGCAGACTATACGGTATGGGTATTTGACATTGTTGAAGGCCTTACGGTTGCCTGTTGTTGCTAACATCAACTTTATTTGAAATCTGGTGGATAGTTAGTTGTCTCATTGGAAATCATACCACATCTTCTTATTTCTATATAGGTGATGTCTTTGTCCATGAATGGGGTCATCTTAGATGGGGACTATATGATGAGTATGCATCTTTTGAAGAGGCCGGCTTAGAATCCCCATCAGCTTTTTACTTAGATGACGGAACATGGAAACCTACCAGGTACAACTGCAACACTTTTTTCATCGTCTTAATTCAACTTTGTGGGTTAAAAAAAGCAAATAATGCAAGAAAATCAATAATATCCAAAATTGAAATTTGAAAATTTTATATAAAATGAGTGACACATGCGTAACACTTTATCTGCCAGTTATTATATAACACTTTATTCCAACTGAGACATACGTAAAACACGTTGAAAAGGAGAAATTCTGTCGTATAGGACAGCCTATCAATATTATTCAGTGCTTTGTCTTCGATTTTAGCTATTTAATCTGGAGGGCCAAGTATTGCACGTAACCTTCGTCAAACATAGTCCAAATATCATTAAATGATTAGCATTGAAGAAGGTTTAAATCTTGTTCAACTCAAAGGTCAGAATTTGTCAAAACCTTTTCCAAATTACAATTTAGTGCCATAAATAAGAGTTAATGATATAGTATCATGCTTAAAATGCTGCTTATGTTGTTAGTATTCTACTAAAGACATTTTCATTGTTAGATGCACGGAAGAAGTAACTGGAAGAAACATAAATATGTTTACCGGTGCTCCATGCACAGTTACAGAAGATGGTATTCCAGAGAAAGATTGTGTTTTTATAGCTGACAAAGATTCCCCCGCGACAGCCTCATTAATGGGTCAACAAAATGTTCTAAAGGTATTAATATATATATGTATACATTTTTTTTAAATATACAGTGGAAAAGACCCTGCCAGTGTTACATCCGTCGAAATTTGTCAAATATAATGATATCATAGTTATTCAGTATCAGAACTACGTGAAATTAATCTCAAAGCGACCCTTTGAAGAATTGTAATATGTTTTAATAATAAACGGAAGGACCATTTTCCTCTGAATTTATTACACAGCAGGACTATTTTCGTAAAGTTTTTTAATCTTTACTCTAGTTTCATAGTATCACAGCTCCTGTTGTTTACTTCGAGGTTTGAAAAATATTATGGTTAATTTATAATTATAAACGCCTGAAGATAGCTCAAATCTTCATTTTTGACATTGTTTTAGCATTTAGTATTTAGAGATCTATTAGTATTCATCCAGAAATGTATATTGCTATTTATTGTCTTTCGGATACAAATATTTTCATTTTGGTTATATATTTTCAAAATTTGGTCCCTCGCTGCAAGTTTTGCAGTTTGTATCAACATGCCTTCATCAGCAAGTAAAAGATGTAGCTCTGATAACGTATTGCGTGATATCATGGAATAAACATTAATTATTGAACGTATTAGGTATATAGTATAACAATTTCAATATTGAATTTCGAGTAGGATTTGACAACTATTGACATTGAGAGTAAAAAAGGCAGAGGAAAGTGACACTACCTCTTTTTACTTCTGCTGATATGTCATCTTGTTGTTGAAATCAAATTCCTTTCCACAATAAAAAGATCCGTCGCTTTAGTCCTTGATATGTATCTTATTTCAGAAGGCAGTGCAGTTATTGATAATACTTTAGAAAACATATTTTTAGACCAATATGATTACCTGGTAAGAAGTCTTCTACCCCAGGTATAGATTACCTTAGCAGTCTTTGACAAAACCTTTTTGAATTTTGGGTCTTAATGCTCTCTTTGTTTTGCCTGTTAAGTTTTTTTTTCATTCGAGCGTCACTGATGAGTCTTTTGTAGACGAAACGTCTCTCTGGCTTTCAAAATTTTAAACCTGGTATCTATGATGACTTTTTTACAGAGTTATTTTTGAATCCATTTTACAGAATTTTTGTAAAGGGCTTAACATCATACAATTCCAACTTTTTTTTTGCTGATAAATGATTTCAGATGGAAGAATTTTGTGATACTGACGAATCAAATACTGACAGTAAACTGCGTCATAACAGTCAAGCAGCGAATAACCAGAATATCAAATGCAACTCGAGGAGTGCATGGGAAGTCATGCGTAAACATGATGATTTCAAAGGTTAGCTATGGACAACATTGAATAAAATTGGGGGAAAAAACCTGAAAGGATATAATGATCATATCAAAGGATGAACAATTAAGGAATTATATACTGTAATATTTTTTTCTGTCTATGAAGAAATAACATACAAAAGGTGGTGCACAGTGAATAAACAGACAGAAAAAATATTACAGTCATTTCTTATAATTTAACTCTCAATTCCATTTTCAAGGAGTAAATAATGAAAAAACGTTGATGACGTCACGGTCACATGACAATTTAAAAATTATGTCTATGAGCTGATAGACAAAAAACTTTCAGCCAATCAGAAGACATGTTATATCCAAAATTAAATTATATATATATAACATCTACAACTAAGCGTGAGACAACATTGTACATCATTATGATTTCAAAGGTTTGATGATAAAAACCCTATCAAAGGCTCGGACAACTAAACAAGGAAAGGGAAGAACTTTGGACACTAAAGGAATTGAGAAATTGTGACAGATCACAACCTACCAACATTGGAACTAAATAATAGAAAAAGTTTACAAATCAATTTGCCTAAATTAATTTCATATGCATTTGCTCTTATAGCTTTAAAATTCTTCGACATAACATATAATAAACACAATATCAAATCTAAATACACATATATATATAAACCATTTAATGAACAACATAGTGATTGAAATATATCTATATCTATTGTTGCAATAACATGTTTTTTTTCAAAATTGAAAAGCAGATTTTGAAAATTATTATCAATTGTTTATTCCATCCTTGGGGTGGGGTTATATGCCAAAACTTTTAACATAATGATTAATTTCTGAATTTCTATATTTTAAATCTGCAAAATATAAATCTAGATGTTGAGTATGAGACATAAAATTAACAATTAGTCTTATAGACAGATCCGATAATATGGGTCGGCCGGGATGAAGGGCTGGTAATTTGGATGGTCACTTGGAAAAAGGGTATGTTAGATTGAGGCCGAAATTTTGCCAATTTTTACAGGCCACCTACGGACCCATAAAAAAGTTGTTGCTTTGGTTTTTTCATTGAGCTTAGTGTGTGGTATTCTCCAGACACACGACATAAGATTTTACGCCCCCATTCCAACCGGACGTGGCTACGTATCTATACATATTACGCAACTAAACAGTCGCCACTCTTTAGCATAGGTTTTAATGCGGGAGAAATCCAGGTGAAAATATACCCCAGTCAACCCTTAGGTTTTACTCATTTTACTGAATGTTTATCATGTTTAAGCTAGTGATGTACGCTTCATGTCAATCACTCTTAATTTCTCACAATGATTCGTGTTTGCTATCACCATTTTAAGTGAAATGTAAATATAAATATCAAATCCACCAAAGTTCAAATAAAGTGGTTGTAAGCAATTATAGGAAACCGTACAGCCTTTAATAATGAGAAAAGCCCCGACATAAAAATATGAAAAATTCAATAGAGAAAACTAACGGCCTTATAACAAAACAATTAACGAAAAACAAATATGACAGAAATAAACCAACAACCACTGAACTACAGGCTCCTGACTTGGGACAGGCACATACAGAATGTGGCGGGGTTAAACATGTTTGAAGGCACCAACCCTCCCTAACCTGGGACAGTGGTGTAACAGTACAACATAATAACAAACTATAAAAATCATTTGAATATGCTTAACTCGTCTGATCAATACAAAGCAGAAAAACATCCAACAACAACACAGACCGGACGTGGAAGGGTATTTATACATCCCTCACAATAAAAAAAAGACACAAAGTACAGATCTGAGAGTACTCGCAGTTACTGACACCTAGTTCAAAGCCAATAACATCTAATAAAAAAATTGTATCTAAGACTAAAATACAAATCAGTACACATCCAACACCCAATGGATTCAGTGTAAAGACGTCATTAACAGACAGAGAAAAACATGACTTTGTGCAATGCCAAAATATAGGTACTGACAGATTGTAGTACTGTGATTGTGCATATGTGTATAACAATAATAATTAGTATGGATTTAATTCAATGATAACAAAATCAATATTTATACCAATAAAAACAATATTCAAAGATCTAATTATAGTGTTGACTTGGTAACCTTTTAGAATAAGTTTTATTAAAGGGTTGATAAGTTTACCCGGATCGTATCTAAATTTCCGGGCTCGGTTAACAACATCATCATAAAATTTAGGATGTGCTATTCCGTTTGAAATAAGCTTTCTACAGGTACAGCTAAACTTGCAAACCAAATATTTGTATCTATGGAATAATTTAGTAAAGGTTTTAAGTTATTTGTGGTAACGAAATCCCTGACTTAATGATTTATTAGTAGTTCATAGATTACGCTCATTGAAATCCAAAACGTTACAACAGACTCGGGCATAGCGAACAAGTTGGGATATATAAACACCGTTAGACGGTAACAAACGAACATTACAGCCCAAATAAGGAAAATTAACAATAGGGAAAGAACATGGTTGTAGGAAAGAAGATATAGTATGAGTACAGTTGGTGAAGAAAAAAGATTAATTTAGGTTTTGACAAGGGATAAGAAAATAATGATATTCAGATTATTATTTGTGTCACATCAATTTCATTGTGTCACACTCGTTTCTAACACGTAATAGAACAACTAAAAATATATTATAATTTATTCATCAAACAGGTAATACCCCTGGCTCTCCGAGTTTTGATACAACTCCAGATTTCACCATCGAAGTAGAGACTGACCAAAGAATATGTCTGCTTCTGGATATTTCGGGCAGCATGCAAGTTTGTATATTGTATTACTCCGTATGGTTTCCTTACGCAACGCGCTCGAATACATGTGTAAATAATTTGTCATAATGTAGAGCAGGATCTGCTTACGCTTCCGGAGCACCTGAGATCACTCCAAGTTTTGTTGGGGTTCGTGTTGCTCTTTCTTTGGTTTTCTATGTTGTGTTTTGTGTACTTTTGTTTGTCTGTTGGTCTTTTTTCTTTTTTAGCGATGGCGTTGTCAGTTTATTTTCGACTTATGAGTTTGAATGTCCCTGTGGTATCTTTCATCTCTCTTTTGTCATAACCCTGCGTAGGCTTACCAAAGTTATGTGTTATTTTAAAAGGCGAATCTAATCAGAAGTTTCTATTGTAAGTATACCTGAGTTATGAACGTAAAACATGTGTTATGGAAGACTTTTCTTAATATTACTATCCTCTTAAATATATAGAAGATATAACTTACTACACTCAGCTGACCATTGGTTTCCGATAATTGGTGTCCAGATTTTACACAGAACGTGTTGTTTCAGTTATGTCCTTACGCTTATTCTTCGTTACCAATCCAGGATGGAATAAGATGTGAATAATTATTTATTGAAAGTACATCATCTATATATAGCATAAGCTATATTGAACTTATCAACAAATAAATACAGTCTGCTTGTATCTATTTGTGAATAACTTATCATTCTACATATAAATTAGATTTAACCATTCTTTAGAAAATGAATTAGTCAATTGATGTAGTGGTTTTGTTAAGTAGTTTTAAACGTTGAACTTTGATTGCCATGTGTCATCATTATAATTAATCTCTCTCTCTCTCTCTCTCTCTCTCTGTGACGACTTACTTTACTTTAGAATATTTTTTTCACAGAAAAACAACAGAAATTCTAAAATGTATACGGCAGCATCAAATTTTCTGTTAAATATGGTAGCAGACGGTACTTCAGTTGGTGTCGCTACTTTTAACAATATAGGAAGGATTGTTCATCAAATGTTGACAATTTCAAGCCAGTCTGATCGTCAACAACTCGTTGCTAGTTTACCAACAACAACAGGCGGTACTACATCTATTGGCGCAGGACTGTTGGCTTGTATTACGGTAAGTTAAACATTTTATTTTTGTTCAGTTGAACACACTATATATGCAAACAAAAACAACATGATCTATTTATATTTGACATATATAGTTTGAGGATGATTTCTATCTAAGGTCATTTTATGTATTCTTGTCTTTCATTTTTGCTTATGTACTTTGTCTATATGCCATTTTTTTTCTTTGTTGAAATAGTTATTTGTTTTTATAGTGATTAATTATTACAAAATGTTTGACTGCTGTACCCCAATTTTTGAAAACTTTACCTATGAGGTCTTTTTGTTTTGCTAACACATTGTTGATAATATAATGGAATTCTATGCGACTGTCATACAAGTGAGAGGTTTAGCTAGCTATAAAACCAGGTTTAATCATCATTTTCTACACAAGGAAATGCCTGTACCAAGTCAGGAATATGACAGTTGTTTTCCATTCGTTTGATGTGTTTGCGCTTTTGATTTTGCCATTTGAGAAGGGAATTTCCGTTTTGAATTTTCCTTGAAGTTTGGTATTTTTGCTATTTTACTTTTTCCTAACTGATATTTTTTTTTTCAGGAAGTAATATTTGAAATAAAAGTATATGACGTCTTTAAACTAAATTCGTTGAATGTGTAGTGATTGTTATTTTAGTAAGGGAGAACATGATTTATTTATTAGTTGTAATTGGCTTTGGAATAGCTCTCAGTAAGTACGAGTTTTCTTAGATGGAATAGCTCTCAGTAAGTACGAGTTCTCTTAGATGGAATAGCTCTCAGTAAGTACGAGTTCTCTTAGATCGTTACTTTGTGTCTTTTGTCTTTTTGTTAGTTGTTTTTGTGCTTCGTGCATTTTGTTCATATGTTGTGCTGTTACACCAGGCACGATCCCATGTTATGGAAGGTTTGAGCGCCCATTAACATGTTTAACCCCGCAACGTTCTTATGTGCTTTTCTTAAGTCATGACTCTGTAATTCCAGTGTTGTCGTTTGTCACTCGATGTGTATATTATTACCCCAAAAACGTTGATGTCTAGATAAGTTAGAAACTTTCTATTGTATATTTATTTCATCACAATTTTATAAACAAACAGATACAACGCATACTCAGATTGAGGGATATTAAAAGACAATAGTTTCGGAATATTCCTCTCTGATTAAAGATATGAGGAGGGAAAACAACAAATATTCATTAAAACAGCATAGAAATAGTAGCAACACAAATCTCCAAATTGTCCTGTTTTGGGAATCAAAATGATTATTCTTTTTATTTAACAGGCCTTAAATTCCAGTAGTGACGGATTAGAAGGATCGATGATTTTTCTGGTTACGGACGGAGAGGAAAGCCGTGCGCCTTACATTGCTGATGTCCAGCCAGTAATCACGACATCTGGAGTAATAGTTAATACATTAGCACTGGGGAATGAGTCAGACACGCAATTAGGAGGTATATCACGTGCATCAGGAGGGCAGAGTTTTTACTATTCTGAAGATGAAGACAGTACAGTTCTCACAGACGCGTTTGCTGCTGCAGTTGCAGATAGCAGCAGCGATACGCTAATTCAGGTCAGGTCAGAGTAGTAAACACTCAAAATATTTGTAAAAACATATGAAATGTCAGCTTTTAAATGTGAAATTTTGTGACACAATTTATTTAGCTCACATGGATTCGACTTATCAATAAAAGATATGACTCTGATTCCGAGTTCTAATATTATGCAATGATAAAACTTTTCACATCTAGTATATAAACAGTTTTGGAGACATGCATGTATAGGTGTTGGTACTTTTATGAACTTGTTGTGCAAAATTATACTGAAATTGACAAATATAAGACTTTTTTTTTTAAAATAATCTATTTTCAAAAGTTTTTTTTTTCTCCGAATACTTTTCTACACTTTTCCCCAATTAATAATGCAGCATCTTTAGAAAGGCTCCTAATATCACTTATCCAAAGATGAGCATACAGTCAAACATTTTAATACTTTTAGTCAACAGTAAAAAAATCATTTAAAAAAAACACAAATATTCGGCAATAAATGAAATGGGGTGAGACTCCGCGGGGCCACCTACTGAATCTGCTACCGCTAATATTTAGCGAAAATTATACATATGGTTTTGTTCTATGTTGACTTTTAGTTATGTTCCTTGTTGACGATCATCGTCTCTGTCATGAATATTTTTTTTACAGATTGAAAGTAAGAGTTTTTCTATTTCATCAACGCAGTCATTTGAACATTATACAACCATAGATGCAACAGTAGGAAGAGACACTATAGTGCAGATATCTTCAAGTGAAGGTGATGATATTGATATATCAGTAACAGGTCCAGATCAAACGATATACAAAGAAATCAATTCAACTTTTGGAATAACTACCGTTAAAATACCTAATATTGCACAGGTAATATATTTCAATAGTTTTATATATATCTGAGACTTTAGTTTTACATTGATTATATTTCTTAAGTAGTGGATTACGAATCCGAAAATAAATGAAAAAAAACGATACATATATACAAATGAACAAATGAGATACAGAGACAAGCAAAAATAGAAAAACTGAAATTTTTGTTTTCATTACAAATTTTAACAATTTCAGAGTGGAAGTTATAAAGTTTCTGTGACAACTACATCCAATAGTATTATTCCTGGTGTTTTAAACGTACAGTCGAAAGTTAGAGTTCCAGGAGAAACAACAGCCAAATTAAGTGTTTGGTTGTCTGATGATACACATGTGTACGGTTCAGATGGTACCACTGTTGTTTATGTTGCAGTTTTGAAAGGGATGGCGCCCGTATTGAAATGCGATGTAACAGCGAGCTTAGAGGGATATGAAGCTAGCACCATACAGCTTCACGATAATGGAATTGGTACAAAATCATTCTTAATTTCTTTTCATGTAAACTGTTATATATAGATATATATTCATGTGTGCTGTGTGATTCAGGTGACCGTTCTGTTTTATGTATCGCCTCGACGAAGTCGTGAAGGCGAGACTGAGAAATGCTGTTTACGGCGACGGCTTCGACAGATAAAAGATTTTAACAATGTATTCGTTTATGATTAGGTCAGTTAACGGGGAACCACTAGTGATAGGATAATGCTATTTGATATACAGTTATATAAGCATTGACACATCTTATTTTCATGAAGATTATTTTGCACCGCCCCATATCTTGATCTATTGACTTTAAGACCTTTGCATACGTTACATGTTTAAGTTTGTGATTAGGTTAGTGTATGATGAAGCACTGTAGTAAGTCAATGGTATTTGGTATGCACTTGCATTAGCATGTGCATGTTCATTTCCATGGACATTATATGGCCCTGCCTCCTCCTCATGGTTTATTGGTTTTGAAACTGTTGCATAGTTTACATGTTAAAGCATTGCCATTTTAATTTCAAAATTTACATTATACATTAAAATCACATACAAACGAGAAATATATATTTTATTGTAAATCTTTAATCAGTTCCTTTTAATATTATAAATCAGCCCGAGTTTAAAAGAAATCTGTCCATCACAATCCTTTATAAACAGAATCTCCTACTTTTGAAAATGGAGTGTAATGAAATGTACAGAATGTTCTTCATTATATATTTGATGATGGAGATGATGATGACGATTTGGTGTTTAACGTCCAGTGGAAAATATCTATTGCATATCAAGACAAGAACATGGTAATGTGATATGAATATGAACCGTGCTTTGAACTCGACCGGCACGCTAGGTCAGAATTTTAACTCGCTAATTTCAGCAGGAAAAAATGCCACTCTACCTTGACATACTATACAGATTCCGGGCCGACCATTAGTCTTTGCTCCTACTATTTAAACTGTACATATTTACAATTCTTGGGCTGGAACTGGCAGGAGGTGTGTACTTGTTTCACTTGGAATAGCATAAGGCGATATATCAATGGTATGGTCCTTATACAACAGATTTGAATACCATTTTGTCTACTATAAACTTAATTTTAACTATCAGGAATTTTGACGGAAAATGTCTTTTAAAAGTACATTATTCAGAAAACCATTGCGCATGATACAGGTGCGCCTTTTCGTGCGGTCTGTTTCAAAAGTAGTTTGAAGTAGTCATGTTAGCATTTAAACGAGTTCGTTTGTACAGGTAGGGCAAAGTGATGTCTAGACTATTCCTTAATTAATTTTGATGGTGGGATAAATCTATTTAGTTTCATATAAGTAAAAGATCAACCAATTTCATATGTGTAAACCAAATTTAGTTACTATTACTTAATGTATATTTATTTGTTAATTACAGGCTCCGATTCACGAGAGTACGATGGAATATATTCAGCTTATATATTTTCTAATAATTTTAAACGAAATGGGCGCCACAGTCTCAAAATATCAGGCCAAAATATAAACAATAGAGCAGAAACACTAAAGTCAAAGGAAAAGAGTGACACGTTCCCATATTATTCAGGTAATGATACATCCTAAGTATAAAGAAAAATATGACATTTGTTGACATCCTATTTCTACAGTTGATTTACAACAAAACAGTTTGAAAGGTTGCAAAAACGAAATAATACCTACATGAGACATTAAAGGACTGTACTTAGTATCTTAAACGACATTAACAAAACATTAAAATATGATTTTTGTTTTGTTTCAAACATTTATAAAAGCAAAATATTGAAATGATATTTCGCTGTTAGCAGTCAGTTTGGTTCAGTTTTGTCAAAACAAGTTCAAGTTAATAATTCAACCTCATTTAGATCAAGCGAAATAATAACTACATGAGACATTAAAGGACTGTACTTAGTATCTTAAACGACATTAACAAAACATTAAAGTATGATTTTTGTTTTGTTTCAAACATTTATAAAAGCAAAATATTGAAATGATATTTCGCTGTTAGCAGTCAGTTTGGTTCAGTTTTGTCAAAACAAGCTCAAGTTAATAATTCAACCTCATTTAGATCCGTATTCATGCGACTATTGATTAACCTTTGTGCATGTTTTCTGTTTACAGGATTGACTACCGAATTAGTTGGTAATTTCCAGAGAGTAATCCTATCCAGTGAAATAAGTGTTACTAACTATAGTACTACTCAGTTGACGGATAATATAAAACCAGCAAAAATAACAACGCTTAAGTTAAAGTCTGTTCAGTTAATGGGAGATAAGTTACAAATTATTTTACTTTGGAAGGCCATTGGCGATGATCTAGACGTTGGTACAGGTACGTATTTACAAATTTGCCGTTTCAGAATCTAATGCATTCTGGGTAATATTTTCTAAAGTGTACACAAAAACGTTGTGATTGGTTTAAATGTCCTAAACAATGGAAATTCAACTAATGACATAACGTTATTATCATTTTGGGGCACCCATAGTCTTCTTTATTCTGAAACGGTGAATTCCTTAATCTTTTCACGTAACCTGTTTGATTTATAAAGTTTTCGTTATAATCGTTCTCTTGAATCTGTTCAAGTTTCTCACTATTTCCAAAAGAAAAGCTTACATTTTGATAATTACCACAAGTTGACAGATTTTAGATGCAAAATAGTTTTATACTTCAGTGTCCTCCTTACCGAAACGAACAAAACCGCGATGGTGCAAAATGTGAGGTCACAACTACTTATCTATTATTAACTTTATTGTATATTTCAAAGCATAATTTTAGATTTTGCATATACGATCATAAAATATATGAGCATAGGCTACGATGAAACCCATTTGTTATAATGTTTTTCTTTTTGTTGCTGTTGTTTGTTTTTTACTCTTCTCCCTACTACGGTATGATGGGCCATTATCTTTTCTGAGCTGTGCGTTCGGCCGTCCCGTATCGCTTAGAGCGTGGCATGGTGTCCTATGGGCACTTATTCTTTTTTTTTTGTGTTTTTTTTGTAAGGAATCAAAAATTTGTGTTAAGAAATTATAAAACAAATAAATAATTTCAAAAACAGGAAAAAATAACTGATCTAAATGAGATTTGTTCAACGATACTAATAAAGATATATATACTCCCAATGGTATTATTGATGAGTTTTTCTTAAAATTTTAACTGAACTATTAATTTCTTTTATTTCAGCATCTGAATATGAATTTAGAATATCAGACAGCTTCTCTAAAATTAAACAACAACCTGAACAGTGTACTAAATTAACTAACAACATACCAATCCCAAAGTTAGCGGGAAGTACTGAACAACATTTGGTTACAAAAGACGATGATTCGCTCACTAAGTATATAGTTGTCAGAGCTATAGATGATGTTGGCAATAAGGGAGATTACTCTAATATTGTTTCTATTTCAAAACTTACCGATCCGTCTTGGACTACAGAAGCTATTAGCACAGTTAATCTAACTGAAACCTTCGTTTCTGGGGGTTTAGCATTAGCGATATTGTTGATAATGATGATATTAGGACTTTGTTTAAAAGTTAGGTCATCAAATACTAACGATAAGAAAAAGCTGATTAAACAAAAGAAACATCAAAATCAGAAACCAGGTAAAAGAGGTTCTTCAAATAAACATCATAACCGATATGAATACGAGAATAGAAACTATATTGTGTAATAGAAGCAATAAAAAAACTTTCAGAAATATAGTCAAAATCAATTTATTTGATTGATCTCATATTAACTATTTGATGTGAAAGAAAGTCTGTATAAAGTGTTTGTGCAGTTCATGTAAACAAGAATGAAAGACGAGAGATAAACACGTCTCCTTTTACATTTTCTAATACAACATTAAGTTTCAGAAGTTGAAGTTTTAGTCAGTTAATTGTCGAATTCTTGTGATTCTCTTGAAACATAATTAAAGAACGTGAAGATGAAAATATGGAGATGTGGTTTTATTGCCAATGATACAGCTATCATCCAGAGACTCTTATGTAAGCAACTATTTATAGGTACCGAACTTCAACAATGAGCAAAACTCATACTGTATATTAAGCTCTAAAATGCCCCGACATGACAAAATCATATGAAAATGCTCACTTATGATTAACACGCCATAAGTATTAGGAAAACAGGAGTTGATGCAAACTGGATGTGAAAACGCATTGCAGGTTATATAATGTTTACATGAAGCTTGATACCAAATATCAGGGTGATCTGATTCGCAATTCATCAGATAAATGTGACAAATTATTTTATACAAGGACATATGTGTGAGAAAATAATAGATACGTATCATTGTTTGTGCCTTAATGTTTGACATTGTACAGTTGTTATATATGTTTTTGAGGTGTTTTATTCCTATTGAGTTTTTCGGGAGAGATTCTCTATTGCACATAGTATTATTACCGAATTTGCTCACTCGGTGCAAAAAAGAGAGGAATCAAGTTTTATTGGGAATTATGCATTATTTGCTTACTTTCTCCCTCCAACAATTTTTCAAAATGTGTGAAAATACTCTAGAGGCAAGATAGTTCATTGCCTTCTTCATGACGAATTCGATTTAATCAGAATGGTACCTTTAGATCAAATACATTATTATAGGTCGTGGTATAACGTATATACAGTAAACAATGGAAACATTTAAATAAGGACGAGCACAACAGCGTGTTGAAAAAGTTCCATGGGTGAATCGATTTGTTTTACTAAAATACGATCCAAGGCATTACCATTATACTGATGGCAAAGTATATTCTGCAGAAAAAATCTTATAAACGAGATAGGCAGTTTAGGCGTGTCAATTCGAATGGGTGTGCCGCTATATGCCAGTTTGATTGTAAAATTGTTAGTTTGCTCGATTGTGACATCACCGAATGAGACTTATCACCGAATTTGTACTTACCATGAGTAACATGACGGGTGCCACTAGTGGATCAGGATCTATTTACCCTGCCGGAGCACCTAAGATCACTCCTCTTTTTGAGGGGGATTTGTGTGGCTAAGTCGTCAGTTTCCTATGAAGCGTTTTGTGCGTTTGTTGGACTTTTTGCATTGGCCTGTTAGCAAAGATGGATTCGATAACTTTGATAAGTAATTGATTAAATTACAATTACTTTGTTAATTCAATTCGAATACTTTAAGTTACACCTAAATTCAAATGTAATCGATTACATTAGATTACTTTTCGTTGTCATGTATACTGTGATATGAAATAATTTTGTTATACATTTTATCCATATATAAAAAAAGATAATTTGAATACAAATTGTGTTTTTAATAAAGTGCCTAGAAAATCAACGCATTATCCCCTACTCTATGCTACACTATGGTGTACCATTTGGTTCAAAAGGTATTTTCATCGATTAACCGCTACTTTTATCGGTTAACGCTATTTTTATCGGTTAACCGCTACATTTATGTCGGTTAACCACTATAAATATGCCGGTTAACCGCTAGTTTTACCGGTTAACCGCTAATTTTATCGGTTAATCGCTATTTTTATCGGATAACCGCTATTTTTATCGGTTAACCGCTATTTTTATTGCTTCATCAATTCCAAATTAGTGTCTATGCACAAATAAATTATTATCTTAAATGAGTAAGTGATTGATGGACAAAGTTTATCGCTTAGCCTGTTAAAACGTAATGTGGATTGCTTACGCCTCCCATATATCTATTTTTGTTCAATCACTCCCACCCAAGTTATAGAATTGTTAATTGACATACGCACACAAGATTTTAGTGTTGAACACGTGGCAATTCTATATAGCACATCACACTGTATTGTACATCAACAATTTTTGTTTTATTTAATTTTACACTTTTAATATGACAAAATGTATTGGATTTCATGGATCTGAATATAAAATAATTACATGACGATGTTTTAAATTCCAAAAACTTAGTGAAAAAACATGAAAATGCTCATTTATCAAAAAGAGGTGCTTGTATATATTCCATTACTACAAATCTGTATAAATGATAATTCGATTGATGATACCGTGTGTGATGAAGACGAGAAATGTTATCTTCTAACATGCACATATATTTTGTGTTATTTCCAAATTAGAAATGAAAAACTGTTCTCTTCCATATTTCTCCCACAGACATGAAACGATATCTATGATACATTTTCTATATTATTGAATTAAATTATTAATGCTATTCAAAAACTCTACCAATGCTTTAATTCAATATTTTTTTAATAAATAACGTGAAGAATGTATTTTTTGTTATAATTGTATTATTGCAAATGTTATTGGAAAAAAGGTGGATTCAGCATCTACTTTCCGATTTATGTCCGATATATGTTACAAGCTGGGTGGTATAAAGTAATGGAGAGATTTATTTAATAAGAAAGTATAACTTTATTTAATAACGAGAAACAAACGTTTTATGAAAGTTCGTCAAAATTCCGCCTAAAATGGAAAACTGTGCATCAACTAATAAAAATGTACATAACTGCTTTTTAAGCTCACCTGGCCCACAGGGCCAAGTGAGATTTTCTCATCACTTGGCGTCCGTCGTCCGTCGTCGTCGTTGTCCGTCGTCGTCGTCCGTCGTCGTTAACTTTTACAAAAATCTTCTCCTCTGAAACTACTGGGCCAAACTTAACCAAACTTGGCCTATATCATCATTGGGGGTATCTAGTTTAAAAAATGTGTCCGTTGACCCGGCCAACCAACCAAGATGGCCGCCATGGCTAAAAATAGAACATAGGGGTAAAATGTAGATTTTGGCTTATATCTCTGAAACCAAAGCAATTGGAGCAAATCTGACATGGGGATAAAATTGTTTATAAGGTCAAGATCTATCTGCCCTGAAATTTTCAGATGAATCGGGCAACCCATTGTTGGGTTGCTGCCCCTGAACAAGTAATTTTAAGGAAATTTTGCCGTTTTTGTTTATTATCTTGAATATTATTATAGATAGAGATAAACTGTAAACAGCAATAAAATTCAGCAAAGTAAGATCTACAAATAAGTCAACATGACCAAAATGGTCAGTAGACCCCTTAAAGAGTTATTGCCCTTTATAGTCAATTTTTAACAATTTTTCGTAAATTTTTGTAATCTTTTACAAAAATCTTCTCCTCTGAAATTACTAAGACAAATTTAACCAAACTTGTCCACAATTATCATTTGGGTATCTAGTTTAAAAATGTGTCTGATGACCCCGCTCGCGAACCAAGATGGCCGACATGGCTAAAAATAGTACATAGGGTGAAATGCAGTTTTTGGCTCATATCTCTTAAACCAAAGCATTTGAAGCAAATCTGACCAGATAAAATTGTTTATTAGGTCAAAATCTATCTGCCCTGAAATTTTCAGACCAATCAGGAAACCCGTTGTTGGGTTGCTGCCCCTGAATTGGTAATTTTAAGAAAATTTTGCAGCTTTTGGTTATCTTGAATATTATTATAGATAGAGATAAACTGTAAACAGCAATAATGTACAGCAAAGTAAGACCTACAAATAAATCAACATGACCAAAATGGTCAGTTGACCCCTTAAGGAGTTATTGCCCTTTATAGTCAATTTTATAACAATTTTCATAAATTTTGTAAATTTTTGTAAATTTTTACAAAATATTTTCCACTGTAACTATTGGGCCAAGTTCATTATAGATGGAGATAATTGTAAGCAGCAAGAATGTTTCAGTAAAGTAAGATCTACAAACACATCACCATCACCAAAACACAATTTTGTCATGAATCCATCTGTGTCCTTTGTTTAATATGCACATAGACCAAGGTGAGCGACACAGGCTCTTTAGAGCCTCTAGTTTTATACATTTTTGTAACTGCTTTTTTAGCTCACCTGGCCGGAAGGGCCAAGTGAGCTATTCTCATCACTTGGCGTCCGTCGTCCGTCGTCGTCGTTAACTTTTTACATTTTGAACTTCTTCTAGAGAACCACTGAATGAAATGGAACCAAATATGGTATGACTGTTCCTTATGAGGTGCTGACCAAGAGTCAGGTGAGCGACACAGGCTCTCAGCAGTTTAATTAAAATTTAGCTACTTCGATTTTTTGTAGCCGATCCATCACCCAAGATGGCCGCCAGCGGGGAGCTTAGTTTAACAAAGGACCCTATGGGAAATACATACAAATGTCTTCTTTTAAAGAACCACTGAATGGAATGAAACCAAACATAGCATGAATGTTCCTTGTGAGGTGCTGACCAAGTGTTGTTACTTTGTAGCCGATCCATCATCCAAGATGGCCGCCATCGGGGGACTTAGTTAAACATAGGACCCTATGGGAAATACATACAATTGTCTTCTTTTAAAGAAACACTGAATGGAATGAAACCAAACATAGCATGAATGTTCCTTATGAGGTGCTGACCAAGTGTTGTTACTTTGTAGCCGATCCATCATCCAAGATGGCCGCCAGTGGGGGACTAAGCTTAACATAGGACCCTAAGGGAAATACATACAGAATTCTTCTTTTAGAGAACCACTGAATGAAATGAAACCAAACATAGCATGAATGTTTCTTATGAGATGCTGAACATGTGTTGTTACTTTGTAGCCGATCCATCATCCAAGATGGCTGCAAGCAGGGGACTTAGTTTAACATAGGACCCTATGGGAAATACATACAAATGTCTTCTTTTAGATAACCACTGAATGGAATAAAACCAAACATAGCATGAATGTTCCTTACAAGGTGCTGACCAAGTGTAGTTACTTTGTAGCTGATCCTTTATCCAAGATGGCCGCTAGAGGGGACTTAGTTTATCATAGGACCCTATGGGAAATACATACAAATGTCTTCTTTTAGAGAACCACTCAATAGAACGAAACCAAACATGTCATAAATGTTCCTTGTGAGGTGCTGATGAAGAGTTGCTTCTTTG